GTCTGTACCTGTGGCTTCTCCCACCCAATCACTTGAAACGGTATGTCCGCACGCTCTGTATCTGGCAGCCTGACCGCGGAACCGACCCTCGGAATCTCAGGGCAGGCTCTGAATTCACACCTGCCTCTCAGACGTGGCTGCCTGTAGACCACACCAGTGCCTTCTATGGAGCAGAATTGCAGGGGCATCTTTAAAGCCGGCATCCTCCCCTCTCCAGGTACACCGTTTTCTTCAGTTAGCCCTGGCAAATGCAGCCCTTACTCTGGAGTTGCTGCGATTGTCCGTGAGTCCTGCTACACAAGTCGTGTTATCCATAAAGTATAACACGAGGCCTCCTTTGCCTCAAGCATCCTTTTTCTTGTGGAATAGCTGCTGTCCCATCTTGTTTGAATAACTGCATAAGCACTTGAGAAGGCAGCTCTAAAATCTCTTGAGTATCAAGTGGTTTGACATATTAATACGACTTTTTTTTTTTTAACTGAAAAAAAGAACAATGGATGAGAATATTCAGATGGTAACAGAGCATCAAAAGGTCTTGCCTGGTTTTGTGGATGCTGTTCGACTGAAAATACGTAATGTGCTGTTGATGTGATATACTGTTGATGTGATAGCACTGATGTGATCACCTGTTCCTCGAGCCCCGGGATGCCAGGAATGACAGTGGTGTAGGCATTCAGCTCTTCGGCTTTCCAAAGGCAGAAGCCCAAACCAAATAGGAGATTTGGGCTGAAAACCAAGGCCGAAGCTACCTTCTGTGCATGTGTAGGAGAGAAGAGGTCTGAGGACTGGGCCTGGGCTGTCAGCCGTTCGTGGTCAGGAAGAGGAAGTTCTGGGAAAGGCGTCTGACGGGGGTCAGTCGTGATGGGAGGAGCCAGAGGAATGTTGCATTTGGGAGGGGTAGACGAGGTGTTTCTAGGAGGTGGGAGAGAGTGAGAGGAAGAGAGAGAGAACAGATCTGTGATTTGGCCGTGTGGAAATTGCCTAGGGTGAGCCAGCAGGACACCAGAGGAGTCCTTTTCCTTTTTCTGCTCTTGAGATGGGTCTCACTGTGTTGCCCAGGCTGGAGTGCAGTGGTGTGCTCACAGCTCACTGCAGCCTCGACCTCTTAGGTTTGGACGATCTTCCCACCTCAGCCTCCCTGGGTAGCCGGGACCACAGATGCATACCACCACACCCAGGTAATTTTTGCATTTTCTTTGTAGAGCTAGGGTTTTGCCATGTTGCCCAGGCTAGTCTTGAACTCCTAGGCTCAAACGATCCTCCCACCTTGGCCTCCCAAAGTACAGGGATCACAGGCATGAGCCACTGCACCCAGCCGAGTCCCTCTTCTTGAAAGTAGATTTTGGAAGCGGCTGCCGAGTTCTCTGCCACATACCAGGTTTCCGGGGGTGTAGCTCTCAAAGTAGACCGCACGTGGCCAGAGTGAGGTGCTCACCCTGGGGGAGCTCCTCTGGCTGTGGTTGTCCTGCTGCTCACTCATGGGTATACCCTCTCCTTGTGAAGGTCAGGTCCTTCCTCACGTGTACCCAGCCCCACATGTGGCCATCACCCAGGGTCACCTGCTACGTGGGAGAATCCTTCCCGGCTTGCTTTGTCTCTTCTTGTGTAAGGAAGATAGGGGTCCTGGCCATGACAGAGCCCTGAGCTGCTCCTCAGCCCCTGTCAGTGGCGACAGTGATGTCTGGTGATGCAGGTGGCCATGTGCTGTATTCTCTGCTGTGCAGGAGTCACCGAAGACCCAGCCTATGGCAGCACCGGGCTCGGCCGGTCTCTGGTCTCTGTGGCAGGCTGTTTCCACCACCAAATTCATATGTTGAACCAGGCAAGACATTTTGATGCTCTGTTACTATCTGAATTCTACGTGTGGGGCCCACCCCTGGGACCTCATTTTACCTTAACTGCCTCTTTAAATACAGGCACATAGGCCGGGTATAGTGGCTCACGCCTGTAATCCCAACACTTTGGGAGGCCGAGGCAGGTGGATCATCTTTGGTCGGGAGTTCGAGACCAGACTGGTCTACATGGTGAAACCCCGTCTCTACTGAAAATACAAAAAATTAGCCAGGCATGGTGGCGGGCGCCATAATCCCAGCTACTTGGGAAGTTGAGGCAGGAGAATCACGTGAACCCCGGAGGTGGCAGTGAGCTGAGATCACACCACTGCACTCCGGTCTGGGTGTCAAGAGCAAAACGCTGCCTCAAAAAAAAAAAAAATACAGGCACGTTGCAAGATATGACAGCCTCACCCACTAGGAGAGACGGGCAGCCTGGCAGGTTGAACCTCGGAATGTGGCTGTGTTTAAAGAGGTTATAGGCTGGGTGCGGTGGCCCACGCCTGTCATCTCAGCACTTTGGGAGGATGAGGTGGGCGGATCACTTGAGGTCAGGAGTTTGAGACCAGCCCGACCAACATGACAAAATCCCAACTCTACTAAAAATACAAAAATTACCCAGGTGTGGTGGCAGACGCCTGTAATCACAACTACTGGGGAGGCTGAGGTAAGAGAATCGCTTGAACCTGGCAAGCGGACGTTGCAATGAGCTGAGATGGTGCCATTGCACTCCAGATGGCATCACTCCTGGGTGACTAGAGTGAAATTCCAACTGAAAAAAAAAAAAAGAGGTAATGAAGGTAAAATGAGGTCGTATGAGTGGGCCCTAATCCAATATGTCTAGGTTCCTATAAAAAGAAGTGATCAGGACACAGACACACACAGAGGGAGACCGAGTGAGGACACAGGAAGGAGAGGGCAGCCATCGACCAGCCAGGAGAGGGGCCTCAGAAGGGTCCACCCTGCTGGTGTCTTGGTCGTGGACTTCTGGCCTCCAGAGCTGTGACATACGTCTCCGTTGTTGAAGCCACACGGTCTGTGGCACGCTTGGTAGCAACAACCCAGGCAAACCAATCCATTGTCCTCCACTCTCTGCCGACTCCTCCTCCTCCGCCCTGGCTGACGTGGCCGTGTTCTGTCTGCAGGGCTGCATGCTGGCAGTTGGGCAGTTGCAACGGGGGCACGGCAGGCTCCCCGTCCCCCCGGCGTAGGAGGCTCTGTGACCACCCAGCCCTGTGCCATCCTCTCTCTGTCGTTCCTTCTCCAGGCTGCCCTGCTCTGCCCTGTCTGGTAGTTGAACACCTGTGGGACCTACTTGCTCTCTACTTCCAGGGCGCGAATTGAGACAGACAGCTGTGGATGACTCAGCGAGGAGCTGTTAGATCCAGATGGAGGGAAATCAGCTGAATAAGTGGGGCTGGTTTCCACTCCCCTGCAGGATGCGCATCGTCGGCGGCTTTGTTTCCTCCCTTGCAGTCGCTGCCACCCAATCTGATGTTATTTACGGGTGTCTCTCTCCACGAGGGACCTCTGTTATCTGTGCCATTTCCAGCACCTAGGACAGTGCCTGTCACACACGGGTGCCCAGTCCCTCTCTGTGAGCCAGCAGATGCATGATTGAAGGGGTCTTCTGAGCCCAGCAAACCCTCCTCTAGAATTGTATTGTCCGGAAAGGGATACCAAAGCTGTTTATTTTCCAGCTGGGAAAAGGGGGGCTGTTGGGGAGATAATGCTGGAGACTTGGGGGCCTCCAGCTAAAACGCTTTAAACAGAACTTTGCACTGGGAATCACTTGCAAAACAGAAACCCCATTTGTGACCAGCCTGGGCTTGATTGCTGTCATGATTGCCCGTCATGCTGGCGTCACTGACAGCAGCTGTGTGTGGAAGGCTCCGTGCTGAGAGCCTGCAGTCACCCTCCCAGTAAACCATCTCGTGGTGCTCTGTGACATGGCTTTTGTCGTTTTGCAGAGGGGATCTTTCAGTAAAGACAGGAGTCTTAGAATCGGAGACGAGCAGGGAAGCTGGGAGTCCTTCCTGCCGTGGGGCCCTGTGGCAGGCCTGGGGTGGGGTGCTGGTGGCCATCACCTACTGCTAACCAAAGGAAAATTGAAGGAGGTGCGGGCCTGGCTGGAGCTCGGTCTCAGTAATTGAATCTTGACGGAATGTGACAGTTCTCGTCCGCGCTCCTCCAGATTGCTTCCTGCTCGTTCTTGGTGATCAAGTCATCGCCCGTTCTGTGAATATCTAATCCAACTTCCATTGTGGTGTCAGAATGTTAGAGAAACAGGAATGGGAGCCTCAGGTGCGTGGGGAGGCAGAGGCAGCTTCTAAGACCGTTATTATTATTATTATTATCTTTATCAGTCCTCTCCCTCCCGGGACCCACGGGGACGGCCTTCCTCTCACCTGCCGACCCCACTCGTGTTCTTCCCAGGTAACCTCCTTGCCTCTCAACTGTATCTCGAATTACGTGTCCCCCATTTGGTATGCATGGAATGTTCCCGAGTATAACAGCCACAGTTTTATCCTTAGCTCTTCTCCCCTTTCCAATCTGGAGTCATTCTCTAAGAAAGATGAGTGACCTGAAAGTCAGAGTTCCATGGCTCAACGTCTCAAGATGCCTCCATGGCCACATGGTAACCGGCCGGCTTCGGGACCTCCTTGCAGCCGAGTCCTGGTGGTTCTGAGTTCCTCCAGCTAGATCCTTCCCTTCTCCCCGCCTCCCTCCCCGGCTTTCTCCCTCCGCAACTCCCTCCCTCCCCCCTCCTCCCCCTCCCTTCTTCCCTCCCTCCCTCCCTCCCTCCCTCCCTCCCTCCCTCCTTCCTTCCTTCCTTCTTTCTTGACAGAGTCTCACTCTGTTACCTAGGCTGGAGTACAGTGGCACAATTTCGGCTCACTGCAATCTCCACCTCGTGGATTCAACTGATTCTCCTGCCTCAGCCTCCCAAGTAGCTGGGATTACAGGTGCGCACCGGCACGCCCTGCTAATTTTTGTATTTTTAGCAGAGATGGGTTTTACCATGTTGGTCAGGCTGGTCTCGAACTTCTGGCCTCGGGTGATCCACCCATCTCAGCCTCCCACAGTGCTGGGAGGACAGGTGTGAGCCACCGCGCCTGGCCCTCCCAGCATTTTCTGATCCCTCTCCGCTTGTCCTTCTCATTGCAGAAAAACTGGCAGGATGCAAGCTGAATGTGGCGGAGGTGACACAGTCGGAAATAGGGCAGAAACAGAAGCTGCAGACGGTGCTGGAAGCAGTACATGACCTGCTGCGACCCCGTGGCTGGGCGCTCCGGTGGAGCGTGGACTGTGAGTTCCATGCCACGGGGCGGGGGTGGGGCGGGGGGTGGGAGCATCTGGAGGGAGCCCGTCCTCTCGACATTCGTCATCCACATTTGCCATCCACATTCATCATCATCCCATCTGGCCTTGCATTTTAAAACTGGGTTCATCTCCCTGCTCTGCGAGAGGTGGTGTTGCAGGGGAGAGAACAGGGGTAGGGTTAGGGAGCTCCTGGGAAAGGGACCTGGTCAGGCCGCGATTCCCCATCCGCCCCGGGCTGCAGAGGAGAGAGGAGAGAGAGGCGAGAGGAGAGTTTCTGGCTGGGTGGATCAGAGGGACTTCGAGAGAGAGAAGCAGCCTTCTGGGGTTCTTGTTGGGACTCAACCCCAAATCCTGGTGGCAGCGTCACCCAGTGGGCTGTTTGCCTGTGACCCTCTGGAATGTGTCCCAGAGCGGGCTGGCATGAGGAGGGGTGACATCACGGTATTTCCCAGAGAACACATGAAAGTGGAAGGTGAAAGACTGAGCCAGAAGAAGGTGGAAAGTTCTCCTCCGTCCTGGCCACTCCTTCCCCACCTCCTTCCCCTTGAAGCAGGGCCCTCAGGGTGTGGCTTCAGGACTCTCTGTGCGTTGGTGAGCTGGGCCCTCAGCAGTGGGCAGGAGGCCCTTGGAGCCTGGCCCTGCACCTGGTTTCTCGGCACTGAGACTTTGGGCAGACCCAGGCTGCCTCGTGGGTTGCTGGGTCTGTGGGTGGGGATTCGGGTGCTTTGTAAGCTCTGAAGCCCTGCACGGGACAAGTGGTGATGAGGACCAAGCCTGAGTCCGCGTGCTGAGGAAGAGAGAGGGGGTGCTCAGGCATGGCAGGGCTGATGTCCAGTGTCCCCAGAGCCACATCTGCCCTTGGCAGCCTCCCGTGGTTGGGAGGGTTCATCGCACAGAGCGAGCCCTTCTGTAGCGCCAGAGAGAATAACACGCATCCTTGTGAAGGGGCAGACGGCCGCGGCCTGCTTCCCGTGATCTTTTCCCTTTGTGCTAATTTTACTACGCTGCTCCTTCCTTCTCCTCACCCCTGCCCAATTTATGGCTTTTAAGAACAAAATTGTGCTTCTAGAAGTGCTTGCACAGGTCACCTTAGGCCAAGAGGAAAGGAGGCGTTGACACTGGAAGTGCATTCACCCGGGCCGCACACCAGCTGTCTCCATTTGCCCGCACTGCGGCCGCTCCTTGCCTCCCTGGGGTCTCATTTAGACGCTGCGGTCTCTGTGGCCTCCTGTATGTGGGCTCAGGGTCCTGTCCAACCCAATCTAAAGCGTCTCCCTTCCTTCCCACTTCCTCCTCCCTCCCACAGCAATTCACGGGAAGAACCCGGTGGCCATCCTCCACCTGCTGGTCTCTCTGGCCATGCACTTCAGGGCTCCCATCCGCCTTCCCGAGCATGTGACTGTGCAGGTGGTGGTGGTTCGGGTGAGTAGAACCGAGCGATCAGCCTGCCTGTCACGCCGCCCGAGAGGCCAGCTCTCCTTCCTCCTGTGGTTTTCCTGCCCTCCCTCCCTGCACGAGGCCACCTTCTGTTTTTCCCTTTTGACAACATGTGCGTCTCACCCTGGCTCCGAGATAAATGATTAGAGTGGGAACAATGGCATTGATTTGATGAGAGGCAGAGGCACGAGGGTGTTGAGGTTTGATTTTCCACATTTTTGAAAAGAACATTCATTTCTCTCCAAAGGCAACTGGTTGGAATTCAATCCCCTTGAATGTGCTTATTACTCACTGGGGGAGGTTGGCCCTGCGGGATGAAACAGACACCCAAATTAAAGCCGCTTTGCATTCGCTGGAGGTTGTTCATCATGCCCCATTCTTTCTGTTTTTGGGTTCATTTCTCTTGATTCATTTGGAGAAATGGAAGCAGGACCCAGGGCCTTCTAACAGAGGGTGAGGCAGAGTCACCTTTCTCTTGCTGCTCCTTTTAGGTTTATATTTTTATTTATTTATTTATTTTTGAGACAGAGTCTTGCTCTGTAGCCCAGGCTGGCATGCAGTGGCACAGTCTTGGCTCAGTGCAACCTCCGCCTCCCAAGTTCAACCGATTCTCCTGCCTCAGCCTCCTGAGGCGCCCACCGCCACGCCCAGCTAATTTTTGTATTTTCAGTAGAGATGGGGTTTCACCATGTTGGTCAGGGTGCTTTTGAACTCCTAAACTCGTGATTCACCCGCCTCAGCCTCCCAAAGTACTGGGGTTACAGGTGTGAGCTATAGCGCCTGGCTATTTTTTATTTTATTTTATTTTTTGAGACAGATATTCACTCTGTCACCCAGGCTGTCACCTGTGACTGCAGCCTCAACCTCTTGGGCTCAAGCGACCCTCCCGCCTCAGCCTCCCAAGTAGCTAGGACTATAGGCACAGGCCACCACATCCGGCTAATTTTAAATTTTTGTAGAGATAGGGTCTCGCTGTGTTGCCCAGGCTGGTCTCAAACTCCTGGGCTCAAGCGATCCTCGCATCTCAGCCTCCCAAAGTGCTATGATGATAGGCGGGAGCTGCCGTGCCTGGCCGTGTTTCCCTTACGTTTCAGTGGATAGTTGATGCATAGGTTCGTGTGTGCGGTTTTCCTCAGTTGCCCTCACTGAGCATCCTCTGTCCTCCGAGCACGCAGCACAGGCTGCCGAGGAAGGAGAGGAGAGACGCACGCCTGGAGTCTGCAGGGACGTCGGCTGCTGCCAGAGCTGAGGTCACGCTGGGAGCCTTGGATGGCTCCGTGTTGATCTGACTCGAGACATCTGGCTCCACTTTCCTCTGGCTTTTAAGCTTCTCAGTCCTGTGGTCTCTGCGGTCCGGGAGGACCTGGCTGCGGCCGTGTTTTTCCGAACCCGTTCTGACCCCGCTGTCACCCTGGGGGCTTGGTCTTGACCTGACGGCAATGCCCGTCTCTGGCATCGGGCGAGGGCCACCTCACGTTACCGTGGTCTGTGGTTGGCGGTGGTGACTCAGGACCTCAGGCTCCGTTGCTAAGCCCCTTATCTGGGCCACAGGTCCACAGGCAGCCGTCCGGGAAGGTCTTCCTAGGGTACACGGGGATGTGGTTCCCAGCCCCACCTACGTCAGCCCGGGGCCCCAGGAGCCCTGTGCAGCCTCCAAAACCCCAGTATTTCCTTTCGGCCTTGCGCTTGGGGCCAAGATAATCTTTGGGGTTTGCAGCAAGTTTGAACCAGGCAAGCGCTTGTGACGCTTCCTGCCGTAACTGGGGTTAGAGAAGTGTTTGGACCATCAGAGTGGAATAAAACGGGGAGCCAGGGGTCCTGTGAACTGGGCACCTTAGAGCTGCCTTCTGTCTTCCCTGCAGCCCCCTCGGAGCTTCCTCAGGGGACCCCTTATCAAACTCCAGACAGGGTGATGCGAGGGGTGTGGCCTTTCCTGGGCAGGAAGGAGGGAAGGGAAGGGCCTTATTTGCTGCCTGGCCACGTGGCTTTGCGCTGATCACCTGCTGTTGGAAATAGATGCTCGGTGCCACGAAGAAAAATGAGCACTGAGACATCGGATCAGCACGCAGTTTTTACTTTCTGGACTGCAGGAAGGGTCCTCTCGGGTTTTAGTTTCAATTGTGAGGCCTGGCTCCAGCCGACAGAGACCAGACAGAGCAGTGAGGACACCCCAAATGTGTAAGGAGTAAATTTGTCTGTTTGCCTTTGCTCATTGTGCTGTCGTGGCAAGATGGCTGGTGCCACCAAGCATCTATTTCCAACACTTGCCTTTGCCGAGCTCCGGTGCTTTCCCCCATAAAATCAAGATTTTACTGCAAACCTTTGAAACATCCAGCTTTATGTCTCCGATCCCTAGACCTGGGCCCAGCACCTTTTGGGTGGGTGCGTCATGCATGTCTGGTCCGTGACTGAGTGAATACAGTCTCTCTGGACCGTCCGTGGCAGACCCCCCTGAGAATCAGGGTAAGCGTTGCCCACAGAGTTGTTCTGTAACCAGCGCCTTCCCTGAGTGTTCGCCGGAGGCCAAGCCCCGGAAAGGGATGGAAGCCCAGGTCTTGGTGGTGCCCATGGTGGGCTGGCCCAGTGGGAAGTGAGTTTCTGGTCCCTCGAGGGGTTCAGCCGTGCTTGGATCAGCCACCCGGCTCTGCCTGGAGCTCCCGTGAGAGGCGGGCTGCCGCCCCCACTGTCACCACTGCCGTGCCCCTGCTTGCCACCATCATTGCACCCGTCATGCTCTGGGGGAAGTGTGACCTGTACTATGTCAGTTTCCTAGGGCAGTGGTAACAAAGTACCACAAACCAGGTGGCTTAAAACAGCAGGCATTTATTCTCCTGCAATTACGGAGGCCAGAAGTCTGAAATCAAGACGTCGTCGGAGCGGTGTGTCCCTCCTGACGCCTCCTCCTCTAGGAGGGGGTTTTCCTGCCTCCTCCAGCTCCTGATGGTGCCCATCGGTCCTTGGTGTTCTTGGCTTGTGGTCGCATCTCTCTGGTCTCTGTGTCCATCATCACGTGGCCTCCTCCCTCTGTCTGTTTCTGTGTCTATTTCTCCTTCTAATAAGGATGTGAGTCATACTGGATTAAGGTGGGGCTCACCATAATCATTGCAGCCTCATCTGAGCTGGTATCTGCAAAGACCCTTGTTTCCAAATGAGATCACGTGCCGGAGTGCATGGTGTATATGAACTCTGGGGGACCCTCTTCAGTCCCGTGCACACACACGGTCGCAGGGGTGTTCTCTGTTACTTATGTTCCTTCCAATTGTGAGCCTCATCTCTCCTAGCTGCAAAGCGTAGAGGATCCCTTTGGGCAATCCTGACCTGGGGTGTTTCTCCTGAGACCTACCCAAAGGCCAGCTCTCAGGGCCATGGGGAGACCAGAGGGTGGGGAGGAGGATGGGGACAGGTTGTGGCCACTGAAAGGCACCCTGCCCAGGGTCCCCTGCTGTGCCCCAACCAAGGCCTGGCATGCCTGTTCAGCACCACCCCTCCTTCTCCGTGGCTCTCTTCTAAGAGGGTCTCCGGCCCCGCAGCTTCATCCGCCCTGTCGCTGTGTCCTTCCTCATCTCTCTCCACTGCCTGATTTTGTGTTTGTTTGTGCTGGGGTTTTCAGAAGCGGGAAGGCCTGCTGCATTCCAGCCACGTCTCAGAGGAGCTGACCACAACCACAGAGTAAGTGGACCCCTGCCCTGCCCTTCCAGGCCATGCTGCTCTGCGCGAGCTGGACCCCAGGCTGCCACTTCAGCCAGGGACGCCAGCGCACGTGGGGCCGCTCCTGGTCCACGCCCCTTCACTTTCGCATGTGATTCTCCGGCCGCTTCCTGCCCCAGCTCTCCTCCCTCTGCACACTCTCTTCAGAGCTTTTGACATTAGAACGGAGTTACCTTCCACAGCCTTTGAATTTTTCATTCCTTATCTTGAAAGGTGAGCTTGAAGAATGTTCAAGGTGGGGCAGGCAGAGTGGGAGTTCAGGATGGTTAGAGAGACCCATCATCTCCGTTTGTCTACGTTAGCCCTGTCAGAGGTGGGGGCTGCATGTTAAGCCAGAACTTTCCTCTGACAGACACAGCTAAACCATCTCTTATCTCCGAGAGAAAGCCGAGGGCAGGTGTTCAGAAGTCTAAAAGTCTTCAAATCTATTGAAAATAGCAAATCAAACAACATCTGTGGTGTGTGGTTTTAAGGACCCCTTGTGATAACCTGTGAAGGATCTTTAGAATTCACTGCATTTGTGCCTCTTGACTAAACCTGTTTCAGATGAAACAGAACATTTAAAAATTGATTGTCTCGGCTAACCCATCAGCTAAGTTCACAGAGTGATTAATTACTGTGTTGTGAATTCGTGGATGCTATTTCAAAAATTGGAGCTGACACAGGAAACCACTCGTGGCTTGCAAGCTGTCAGGGAAGATGATGGGATGGTGGAGTGCAGGCTGACGCCTGTGTGGAGGCCGGCCGAGAGGGCTCCCAGTCTGCCCCAGGCCCGGGGAGGGAGCAGAGAGAGCTGGAGGAGGGGAGGATGGGAATGTGGTTCGGTGCCCGGCACAGTGGGCCTTTGGCAGCGGCTCCGCCTGTTCAGCCGTAGGAGAAGGGCTGCTTGTGAGGAACTGGGATTGGGCTGGTGTCTGTTTATTGTTGTGTAACAAATCACCCCCAAAGCTGAGTAGCTTGAAACAACATCTGTTTCAATTGCTTCTCACAATTCTGTGGGTCAGCAATCTGGGCTGGGCTCAGCTGGGCGGTTCTTCAGCCAGTCTCACCTGGGGTTGCTCGTGTGATGCAGACACCTGAAGGCTGGATGGAGGCTGGGGAGGCTTCTCGGCCTCCCCCTACCTCTGGCGGTTGGTGTTCACCTCCCCTGGTCTCTTTCCTCCTCATGGAGCTGGACATCTTCCCAGAGTGCCCTCAGGGTCTGGAGAGAGTGAGAGTGCAGCTGCAGGCCCCTTGAGGCCTTGTCTCAGACATCCATACACATGTCCTCAATTCTGTGAGTCAAAGTGAGTCACAGGTCGTGCTGGATCAAGGTTCAGGAAACAGACTCTGCTTCCTTGTGCAGAAATGGCCTAGGTTGTTGGAGGTGGACACGCTGTGATAAGAGTCCCCTTCCAGGTGATGGGGGTCCCATATGAGGGCAGCAAGGAGGAACTGGGGCCTCCACAGTCATCCTAAGTAAAACCAGAATGGTCCAGAGACAGAGTATGAGCAAGTGGATGGGAGAATAGCCTCAACTATTCACCAGCGGTAACTGGCCCTGAGGACCTGCTGCATGCCAGGCTCCCTGCTGGGTCCACAGAGACACGGAGAGGCGGGCTGAGCACGGTCCCTCTCCTCTAGGGCCGCCCGTCCTGCTGGCGAGAAAGGACGCATCCGAAGACATGTACGATCCAGCACAGGGGGCTCGTGGGAAGTGCCTCAGGGCCTTAAGGGAATTTCCAGGAGGAGGGGAGTGCCCCAAAGTCAGGGCAGGGGAAATTCCAGTGGAGGCCACCTCAACCAGGTGCCAGGTGGCCCTGAGCAGCAAGGAAGGGAGTTGGGGTTTTCTAGCTGGAGTCAGCGTCCCTCTGCAAGCCAGGGCAGGGGTAGGGGAGAGGCTGGTGTCTCCTCTCCAGGCTGATGCCCCAGGTGGGTCCTCCTCAGGGCTCATCATGCCATCCTGGTCACCTGTTCCTGTTCCCCTCTGTGGCCACAGAGGCTCTGACGGAGCTTCTGAGTCATGGGATGTCTGCTGAAAACCAGCGGCCCAAAGATCCACGTTCAGTTTCCTAAGGCGGCATCACCACCTCCCATCCAGTCTCAGTGTTGTCCTTTCTAGAGGCAGCTACGAGGTCACCACCTCCAGGAAGCCCTCCTATCTGCCAAGCAGGAGTGCTTGGCTTCCCGTTAGTTCCCGTGGCCTCTGGATACACATGGCCAACATTGAAATATTGGCTTAGGAGGTCTCTCACCCCCGGCCATCCCGAGGGCAGGGCCACACGGTATTTATCTCCAAGGGATATTAATTTCTGTTATCTGCGTAGCCGGCATGTAGTAGATGCTCAAGTAAGCGCTTGTTAAATAAGCTGGAGCCAAAAGACTTGAGCGTAGAGGGATTTGGGGACAATGGGAAGGCAGTGCGCGGGAAGGCTCTGGGCACTCACGCGCTGGGAAGCTGTGAGAGGATGCCAGCCGCCCCCATTCCCCCCACTGCGTTCACCGCCCGCTGCCTGAGGTCAGGGCCCCGCCTCGTGGTTCCCCAGAATCCTTTAATTCCGTGAGTCCCGCAAGTACACTGTGTTTATCCTGGAAACATAATACTTGGGTAACCAGCAACCTTGTGTGTTTATTTATTTATTTTTTTGAGAGAGTCTCTCTCTGTTGCCCAGGCTGGAGTGCAGTGGTGCGACCCCAGTTCACTGCAGCGTCGACCTCCCAGGCTCAAGCGATCCTCCCACCTCAGCTCCCGAGTCGCTGGGACCACGGCCCACACGCCGTCACACCCAGCTCATTTCTTTGCGCTTTTCTTAGAGGGGGTTTCGCCACAATGGCCAGGCATGTCTCTCCAGCCATGGTTTTGTTTGTTAGTTTTTGAGACAGAGTTTTACTCTCATTGCCCAGGCTGGAGTGCAATGGCGCGATCTCGGCTCACTGTGACCTCCACCTCCTGGGTTCAGGTGATTCTCCTGCCTCAGCCTCCCAGGTAGCTGGGATTACAGGCACCTGACACCACACCCGGCTAATTTTTGCATTTTTAATAGAGACGGGGTTTCGCCATTTTGGCCAGGCTGATCTTGAGCTCCTGACCTCAAATGATCCATCTGCCTCTGCCCCCCAAATGCTGGGATTACAGGCGTGACCCACCGGGCCTGGCCCAGCCTGTGTTTTGAGCCTTCTATGGCTGCTGGAAGCCCTATTATCTGCTGAAATCTTCAGGTTAACTAAGCACTGTCTTGATTTAAGCACCTCCCCTCTGAAAGGCATTCCCGACGGCATGGTTAATGCGCAAAGAGAGGTGGGGATTTGCTGCTGATCTTGTGCAAACGTGAATAATCCACACAAACACCTCTCGTTTATAATTAGAGCGGGCCAGAACGTAGCACAGTGTGACATGCGTGATCAGTAGGCCTTCACGTGGGCAGCGAGGGGCCTGGCGTTCTGGCTGGCCTGTCCCTTACCCTCCACGTGCTGCTTGCGAAACTGCATTTGGGGTGACCCATCTGACGCCCTTCTCTGTACTCTTGTTTGCAGGATGATGATGGGCCGGTTTGGTAAGTAACCCCGGGGGAAGTGGGGAGACGGAGGTGTGTTAGGGCTGCCCCAGGAAGCTCCCCGAGACTGTACATGGTCCTTTTGGGGGGAGTGGGAAGCTGGGTGGGTCTCACTCCCCCTGTAGTTCTGTAATCCTAGAGAAAGCACGCTGTCCGCCCCCACCTTTCGGTGCAATGGGCTTGTTTCTCAGAGCGGAGAGGGGCTGGGTGGTGCTAGGTAGAGTCGGGTGGGGCCAGGCACAGTGACTCACACCTGTAATCCCAGCACTTTGAGAGGCCGAGGTAGTTGGATCACCTGAGGACAGGGGTTCGAGACCAGCCTGACTAAACATGGTGAAACCCCGTCTCTACTAAAACATACGAAACTTAGCCAGGTGTGGTGGCAGGCGCCTGTAATCCCAGCTACTCGGGAGGCTGAGGCAGAAGTGCTTGAACCCAGGAGGCGGAGGTTGTAGTGAGCCGAGACTGTGCCATTGTGCTCCAGTCTGGGCAACAGAGTGAGACTCTGTCTTAAAAAAAAAAAAAAAAAAGAGTGGGGTGGAAGGCTGGGTGGCTAGCCAGGGGAGTGGGAGGGGCCTGGGACGTGACGTCACCGGCTGGAACTGTCCAGGGCTGGGGTGGGAGCGGTCAAGGGGAAACGGGAGGGAGGAGAGGCGGCTGGTACGTGGCGCGCCGTTGACTGGCTGGGGGAGAATGGCTCCCCTCTGTGATGTCCTTCCACGTGTATTGTTTCCTCCTGGAAACGGCTGCGTTAGCAGACTTCCTTGAAGTCAGGCAGCAGGGGCTCAGTCCGGGCTGGTGGCCTGTGGCCTGCCCTTTCCTCTCTCTGCTCCTCATCTGTGAAGTGGGAGCTGGGCTGCTGTGAGGATGGGGTGAGATCACAGGTGAGTGCCCTGCTTGGCCACGGGCAGCCCTCTATGTGGGGTGGTTTTATTAGTGTTGGTTTTCAGTGGCTCTTCCCAATGACTCTCTCTTCCCCCCAACTAAAGCCTGAGACCCCATCTTACTCTCAATAAGGGATGGCAACATTTCAACCCTCAGAGCCAGGATACCCCAGCCCTCAGCCTGGCCAGGCTCCCTGCTTTGGGGAGCATTTCCAAAGGGAAACCCCTTGACCCCTAAATAGCATGGTCTCCAGTGAGCAGGGAGTGGAGAACCGTTCTTAAGAGGAAGAATGGAATCCAAATAGAAATTTCCCGTGTGCCTCTCCAGCCCGCCAGCCCGGAGCTGATGTCTGTCCTTTTAGGGTCCTCCAGCCGGGGGTGCCACCCACTGAGTCCTATACATTGAGGGCTGGGCCAGCTCGGCCATGGGGCTCTGTAACCTCGAAGTGATTATGGGGACCAGCTAGGATGCCATCGCTGCTTACCTGTAGTATTAGGGTTCTCTAGAAAGACAGAAGCAATAGGACAGATCTATATATTAAGGGGAGTTTATTAAGGATATGAGCTCACACCATCACAAGGTCCCACAATAGGCCATCTACAAGCTGAGGGGCAAGGAAGCCAGTCCAAACCCCAGAGCTGAGGAACTTAGAGTCTGATGTTCAAGAAGCATCCAGCGTGGGAGGAAGCAGCAGCCTGGAAGGCGAGGCCCGTCGAGTCTGTTCACGGTCTGCTGCCTGCTTTATTCTGGCTGCTCTGGCAGCGGGTTAGATGGTGCCCACCCAGATTAAGGCTGGTCTGCCTCTCCCAGCCACTGACTCAAATGTCTGTCTCCTTTGGCAACACCCTCACAGACACACCCGGGGACCACGCCCTGGATCCTTCAATCCAATCCAGCTGACACAGTATTAACCGCCATGCCTGTGGTGAGGGGAAGGGGCTCCGATCCCACGGGGCTTGAATTGAGAAGACTCGGTGAGGATGTGTCCGAGGGGCTTCCTTTGTGAGACCTTCAGCTGTGCGGGGACCATTCACAGGCCTTCGCTTTTTTTTTTTTTTTTTTTTTTTTTTAAGGAGACTTTCAGCTCTTTTAAAACGTCTCTATTATTAAAAAAAAAAAAAAACCAAGGATGAGAAAGAGAAGCCTCCTGTGTCTAGTTGCTGAGGGAGGCGAGACCTAGTGGGGCACAGCTCCCGGGGCCGGACTGGGGCGTCGCCCCACCCTGCGTCTAGGTACAGGCCCACTTTGGGGGCCCAGTGCCCCCCTCTGTTAACTCCTCTCCTCCCTTTCTTCCCAGAGGAGGCTCAGCACCCCTTTGGAATTGTAGAGGCCTAGAGATGAGGAGAGTGGGTGCATCAAGCGTTCTGGAGTGTTTTTGGCTTTCTGTGACACCGTCACTTCTGTGCTTGGTATGGGCCTCATTGGAGATGTAGGGAAAAGACAGCCTGGACCATTGAGTTGGGAGCGCACGGGCCTCGGGCTGTGTGTAGCACCCTGTGGCCTGGAGCCCCTGCCACCCTAGGAACGAGCTTTAGGGTCTGATGTGCAGGGCAGTGGCTCCCTAGGTAAGAGCCAGGTGTCACATGTGAAAAGTGGACCCAGCTGCCTCTCCAGGGGCGGCGGAACTGCGGGATCACAAGACCAATTTGCACAATGGGCTGAAGGAGTTGTTCTCATTACGTCGTAGGCTTCATGCTCTGTGCTCCGGGGAGATGCAAACAGGCTATTAGTCGGTGACAGGCAATTAGTTCTGCCCCCGGGCTTGCTGCTGCCGCTGACGCAGGCTCCGAAGTCTCCTGGTTACCCAGCCTGCCACCCTCAGGCGCAGCAGGGCTTCTGGCCCGGCACCCGCTCCCGTGGGGGCAGCAGCGTGCCTTATCTTGGCTTCCCTGTGATGCCGCTTGCTCCTCCAGCCCCCAGGAGCACGCTGGGGCGCGCTCTCCTCCAGCAGCCTCCACCTGAATGCTCTCCCTCGGGATTACCCCATGGCTCACTCCTTCAGCTCCGCCAGCTCTTGGTTCAAATGTCACTGATCTGGGAGGCCCTCTCTGACTCCACTGCCCTAAACTGCCTTCCGCTGGCTGTCCCCCCGCCGCCCGCCACGTCTTAGTTATCTCTGCAGTCATGTGATGAACCAAGCAGCACTCTGCTCAGGGGGATGGCCTGGCTCTTCTCCCCTGCACCAGTGTTCACACAACGAAGCCTGCACGTGCCTGGCAGACACTGGTGCCAGCAAAGGTTCAGGAGCACCCAGAGCCCCTGCTTTTCTCCCTCCACACACGGCTCCTTGACCCAAGGAGGTGCCCTGTGGGCTGGAGCTGACCCTTTCTCAGGCTGCCCCTTCACCCCACCCTACCAAAGCAGCCAGCCTGGCCAGTCTGCCATGCAGCTGGTGCCAGATGTTCTAGGAGCTTCTGGAAGGCCGGGCAGACCCTCCTTGGCTCATGTGCTGAGCTTTGCCAGAAGCGGTCTTCTGGGCCTCAGTTTCCCCACGAGCACCCTGAGCCAGGGAGGGATGGGGGCTCTGCTCTGCCCACTCCCCATCATTCCAGCAAGAGAGGTGGCTCCCCAGATCCTCGCTGCCTCTTGATGGCATCGCTGCCCTGGCCGAGGTGGGTGAGGAGGCTTCTCTCCACGGAAACAAGTCTCAGGGGAGCCAAGGAGCTTGCAGCCTGGTCTCCACGGCAACGGGCCAGCTGCTGCGGCTTCTCCGCCGGCCGCCCTTCCCCCTCCTGAGCCTGCCCTGGGCTGGAGGGGAAAGGGGGGGACAGGCCTGCCTCACCCTCTTCCCCCTCCTTGTAACTCCCAGTCAGACCCCTTCACGTCCCTCCCATTTCTGCCAACAGAGCTTGTTCCAGAAGTGCCAGCTCCGCCCCGGCACCCCTGGCTCCTGGTGCCCTCCGTCGCTCCCACGCTGCTGGCCACAGCCCCTGTTCACAGCTCTCTCAGGCCACCGGCTCTTGAACCTGCTCTGGGCTTTCTGGCATCTCTCCTTGTGCCTGCTGCTGGCACGGAGGAGCGCCTTTCCTGTCCTCTGGCCCCAGCAAGCCGGGCTTGACCCCCAGGGCTGCCTCTGTGAAGCCTTACCCAGGTTCGCCAGCCCTTGGTTCAGACGCAGGTGCCTCCAGGGACCAGCTGATCATATAAAAGGGGAGAGTGGCTAGATTGTGCAGTGATAACGCCAGCTGCCCCTTCACCCCAGCTGGGTGGCAGTGGGGAGTGGTGGGGTCTGGGGCACCCTGCAGAGTCCATATGCCCTTCCCCGGGGCTGCTCCCTGCTGCCAGGCTCACTGTTGCCAAAGCCTCCAGTTCAGGCGTCCCCAGACTTTTTACACAGGGGGCCAGTTCACGGTCCCTCAGACCGTTGGAGGGCCGCCACATACCGTGCTCCTCTCACTGACCACCAATGAAAGAGGTGCCCCTTCCTGAAGTGCGGCGGGGGGCCGGATAAATGGCCTTAGGGGACCGCAGTTTGGGGATGCCTGCTCCAGGTCTTCGAGAGAGGCCAGACGCTCAGAACTTTTGGACAGACCTTCCCATTTAAGAGCTGTTGACTCTGGCCGGGCACCGTGGCTCACGCCTGTAGTCCCAATGCTTTGGGAGGCTGAGGTGGGTGGATCACCTGAGGTCAGGAGTTCAAGACCGGCCTGACCAACATGGCAAAACCCCGTCTCTACTAAAAATACAAAAATTAGCCTGGCGTGCTGTTGGATGCCTGTAATCCCAGCTACTCAGGAGGCTGAGGCAGGAGAATGGCTTGAACTCGGGAAGCGGAGGTTGCGGTGAGCCAAGATTGTGCCACCGCACTCGAGCCTGGGTGACAGAGTGAGACTCTGTCTTACAAAGCCAAAAAATCAAAATAAAAACAAAAACTGTTGACTCAAATCAGAACATGACGGGGACCGACCTGAGTGTTCTTGCAGATTGAACTTGGGCAGACCCGGCCTGGATTCCTCTTTGCTGACGCTAACAGGACCGCACGATCAGAGCTGCCTCCCTCTCCAGACCCTCCCCGGAGTCTGCGCCTCTCCCAAGAGCAGGGCCGCTCCTTGTTTATCTCTGTGGCATCTCCAGAGCCTGCGGAGGCTCTGGGGGACCGGACGAGAGGGAGCTGTAGGGACTGAGGGCCAACATCGCTCCTGCCTCTGCCCACTGCCCCGCTTCCTTCCACACTGAGGGCGAGGCAGGGGCCGTCAGAACGCCACCTTTAACCTTTACGGAGGAAGAGGTGGGGCTGGAGAGGGGAGGATTTGCCCAAAGTCATGGGGTGTGAAGTCAGGCGGCTGGGATCTGCATCTAGTTATGTTCCCAAGGCCAGGCACATCTCAGCAGTACAGTATGTACGCTCTCTCCCCCTCCCCCTATGTCTCTCTCTCTCTCTCTCTTCCCCCTTCCCCCTCCCCATCTGTCTCTCTCCCCCCCTCTCCTCTGTCTTTCTCTCTCCCCACCCCCTCTCTCTCTCCCCCTCCCCACCCCTCTCTCTCTCTCCCCCTCCCCATCTGTCTCTCTCCCCCCCTCTCCTCTGTCTTTCTCTCTCCCTACCCCTCTCTCTCTCCCCCTCCCCACCCCTCTCTCTCTCCCCCTCCCCACCCCTCTCTCTCTCTCCCCCTCCCCATCTGTCTCTCTCCCCCCCTCTCCTCTTTCTCTCTCCCCACCCCTCTCTCTCTCCCCCTCCCTACCCCTCTCTCTCTCTCCCCCTCCCCACCCCTCTCTCTCTCTCCCCCTCCCCACCCCCCTCTCTCTTTCCCCCTCCCCATCTGTCTCTCTCCCCACCTCTGTCTCTCTCTCCCCCCTCCCCCTCTGTCTCTCTCTCTCTCTCCTCCCCCGCTCCCCCTGTCTCTCTCTCTCTTCCCCCTCCCCCTGTCTCTCTCTCTCTCTCCCCACCCCCGCTCCCTCTCTGTCTCTCTCTCTCTCCCCCTCTCCTCTGTCTCTCTCTCTCCCCACCCCCTCTCTCTCCCCCTCCCCCTCTGTTTCTCTCTCGCTCTCTCTCTCTCTCTCTCTCTGTCTGTCTCTCTCCCTGCTAGGTGAGGGCAGTCCCTGAGGAGGCCCCTGGGCCACCCCTAGACAGGTGGGAGGCGCTTCCTACCCCACCCCTTCCTGTCAAGCTGGGCTCTGCAGCTCCCCAGGGCTGCTCCTTGGGTTGGGGTCCCAGCCTGGCTGGTAACAGAGGGTCTCTCCACTGGGCTCGGTCTTCTCAGCATGCTCCGTCCCCAGGAGCCTGGAGGATGGAATTTGGCGGCCCTGGGTCCCTTCCAAATGCCCTGGGTCCTGTGCCTGGCCCCTGGTGCCCGTTTTCAGAGCTGGGGGTCCCTCCCTGCTGTGTGGACTGTGTGACATGATGCCAGTCCCCAGGTCCAGGGACACGGCAGCCGGCAGAGAGGCCTCTGCGGCACCGATGCCTCCCTGAGTGGCTTGACTCTGCCAGCCCAGCGGTGGCCCGGCTAAATATACCCTGGCTGACGTCAAGCACTCTTCTGCTCCTGGGGTTTTTCTTAAGCTGCGTTTAGAGTTTACGTGCTGCTTTGTAAAGATGTCACTTTTGGGTTTTTTTGGCCCCTTAGCCGACTGCCGTATTGAGTGTGCTCTGACTTAGATGTTTTAAAAATACTTTACAGCTGCCGCAGTAGAAAGCTGCCAGGTGTCCGGAGGCATTTTGATCAGTGTCGGTCTTTAGGTGAAGAAAACTTCCCTTCCCTCCCTCCATGCACACATACACACGTGTGCACACGTGTGCACACGTGTTCACACACACTTTCCTTCTCTCCTTTCCACCTCCGCAAGGCCAAGGAAGAGCTGCCCGGGCCGGGCTGGGCAGGGGGCTGTGAGCTGCCTTCTGGGCAGCCCGGCCTGGAAGGAAGGAGCCCGCGTGCTTCCTCTGGGAGGAGGCCTGGCCGGCTTCTGTCCCTGGGCCTCTGGCTTACCTGGGCCTAATCCCTTCCTTCTTATTCTCTTTCTTGGCTTTCTCTGTCTGTGTCTCTGTTTCTCTTTCTCTCCTGCCCCCCAGGCCAGGGTGGTCCCTGAGGAGGCCCCTGGGCCACCCCTAGACAGGCAGGAGGAGCTTCCTACCCTTCCCCTTCCTGTCAAGCTGGGCTCTGCAGCTCCCGAGGGCTCCTCCTTGGTTGGGGTCCCAGCCTGGCTGGTAACAGAGCGTCTCTCCACTGGGCTCGGTCTTCTGAGCTTGCTCTGTCCCCAGGAGCCTGGAGGATGGAAGTTGCCGGGCCCTGGATCCCTTCCAGATGCCCTCGTCCCCCTCTCTTCTGCCCTGGCAGTGACACCCCACAGCTCTGTGTCTACCTAGAGACCTCAGCCCTCTCTCTGCCTGGAGTCCAAGTCTCTGTCCCTTATGCCCCATGGGACCTCCCTCCATGGCAGCAAAGGCTCTGAGGCAGGTGCGTCCCAGTGTCAGGAGCAGCTGGAAGGCCGGTGGGTGGGCGAAGTCACGTAGGGCACGTGTTGGAGGATGACTCTGAGCCCGAGTGTCCCATGGCCCGTGAAAGAGGATGGATTTGATCTGAGTGTCCCGTGGCCCATGGAGACGGGATGGATTTTATTCAAAGCATGATAAGAAGCAGTTGGAGGGTTTTCCTTGTGGTGGGAGTGGAGGAGGGGAGCAACTGATTCTGTTTGCACTGGAAAGGGCTTACTCTGCCTGCTGGGAAGAAGGGATCAGGGGTCGGGAGGAGAGTAGGAGGCTGCAGCTGCTCCCAGGCAAGGAGCAGTGAGGTGTGGGCGGCTGGGCCACGGCCGCGGGGGAGGTGGGTGGATTCACAGGTACCATTTGCTGGTAGACAGGGAGCGTGGGAACAGGGAGGATTCAGGACGCCTCAAGTCCTAGGACGTGGCAGGGGCGGATGCCAGGTGCCGTCTCCGTGTTTCATGTGAAAAGGTCAGGAGCAGGTGGCAGGGACCCTTTGCCGCCTCTAGTCCACGCTGTTCCGGGTGTGCCGAAGCGCGCTTGCCCACCGTGGTTTGGCCAGGACTGATCGTCGGGGTCAGCTCTTTCATTCTGGCAGGAATTGGAAGGATTCTAGGCAGGTGTGGGAGATCAGGCTGAACCTCCTCGGAGATCAGAAGCTGGCATGTCCCCGGGGTGTGGGGGATTAGGGCAGCACCACGGGCCCCCATAACTGCTCCTCTGTGTCTCTCTGCATGTCCTCAGAGCGGGACGCCTTCGACACGCTCTTCGACCACGCCCCGGACAAGCTCAGCGTGGTGAAGAAGGTGAGCTGCTGGCGGGGTGTTGGGTGGCTTCTCTTCTGGCTCCGGCTTTTTGACAGCACAAATGCCCACTGGGAAGAAGGTGGGAAAATGTTTGGAATCTCAGAAATGTTTGCCACATGGATTGAAATGTCATTACAGTCAGAAAACGTAACCACAGTGCATAAAATTAGCGCCTTGTAACTGAAAATCTCTGCTCCCCGGGCATCTTCCTGCCGCTCTGCTTCTGTTCAGTGAATTACCCAGCCAGCAGTGCTTTCTGACCCCGGGCCTTTTTGCCATGTGCCTGCTGCTCTGGCTGGCCTCCTTAGCATCTCCGGCCTGCGCCGTAAACACGCAGGCCTGGGTACCCACTCAGCTCACTCCCACTTGGCACTGTCCAGCTCTGGAGATGCTCCCACTGAAGCATCCTCAAGTCCAGCTCCAATGTCCCCTCTCCTAGGTCTTCATGGGGCTCCGCACACCTCTCCTCTGGGTCATGAAATCTCCCCTGCACTGCGTGTCTCCCTGCAGCACCCTAGCTCCTGATGTCTCCGTCCCACCACTGCGTGCGTGTGGAGAAATACATCAGAGGCCCTGTGTCAGGGGCTGGGGATGGAGCTCTTAACTGTGTTTCTGTCCTTAGCACCAAGTGGCATGCTTGGCACATAGTAGCTGCTCAGTCAGTTTGAGCAGAATGGGTAAGAAATCATATCATGGGCAGTGGTGGGTAGTAGTGAGTTTCCAGAAAATTTCAGTTCAGTCGCTGAGGAATGACAGGTGACAGGTTTTGAACTGCTGGAGAGAAGCCAGTGCCCCTTGGGACCTACATAACAGGGCTCAGAATCCCTCAGATCCACTCCCTGAGTGGATCTCCCCATGCACTGAAAATCCACAGGCGGGCCGGGCATGGTGACGCATGCCTATAATCCCAGCAATACGGGAGGCCCAAATGGGCGGATCACCTGAGGTCGGGAGTTAGAGACCAGCCTGAGCAACATGGAGAAACCCCGTCCCTACCAAAAATACAAAATTAGCTGGGCATGGTGGTGCTTGCTTGTGATCCCAGCTACTATGGAGGTTGAGGCAGGAGGATCCCTTGAGCCTGGGAGGCGGAGGTTGCAGTGAGCTGAGATTGCACCATGGCACTGCAGCCTGGGCAACAAGAGCAAAACTCCATCTCAAAAAAAAAAAAAAAAAAAAAAAAAAAAGGAAAAAAACCTCGATGGGCGTGGCCCAAGGCAGCGCCTCCCTGTCAGTCATTCTGAGTGTGCCGTTCACAGTTCCAGGTCACATCCAAGATACATCTGCAAATGTAACAATCCTCCCCTGGCCATTTTGTATCTTTCTTAAGAGCACAGTGTTCTTCAGTGTGATTGTTACATAGGGCACGCGTGTGCAGATCGGCCTGTGTATGCATGGGGTGGTGAACAGGAACGTGCGTAGCCAGGACAGACGCGGGCACAGTGCTGTGAACGCTGGGGGCTGTGGTCGGGATGTTGCGTTTGAAACACCGGCTTTTTATTTCAGCAAACGGGAGGTGATGAAAGCGTTTCACAGCGCCGGGGCTGGCGGATGCCAGGCCTGCCCCTCCAGATGGGGCCTGCACGTGGCCACTCACGGCGTCCCTGTCTCTCTTGTTCTTGGCAGTCTCTCATCACGTTTGTGAACAAGCACCTGAACAAGCTGAATCTGGAGGTGACGGAGCTGGAGACCCAGGTATACACGGTTTGGCCCGCCCCTGTTTTCAGTAGGCGTTTTCATCCCAGGTGGGACGGGCGGACACAGCTGGCACCATTTTGCTCATCTCACAAGGAATTCCCGTGGCGCGGGCAGAACTAACCACCTCGGCCTTCTCAGCCCCTCTGTCTTCCTTTCCTGGGGCTGCCGCCGCAAAGCACCACAAGCCGAGTGGCCGCAACAACAGACCTCTGTGTCCTGGAGTGCTGGAGGCTCGAAATCCAAAATCAAGGTGTGGTCCGGGAGGGTTCCCTCCGAGGCCGCGCGGGAGGATCTGTTCCTGGCCTCTCTCCCAGCTTCTGGGGTTTTGCTGGGATCGTTGGCTTCCTCGGCGTGTACACGCGTCGGTGTGGTCCTTGTGTGCGAGTCTCTGTGTCCACATTTCCCCGTTTAATCAGGACCTGGTCATGCTGGATGAGAGCCTGCCCATGACTTCAGCTTCACCTGGCTGCATCTGTGTAAACCCGTTTCCAATACGCCACATTCACAGGTCCTGGTGATTAGGGTTCCGCTGCGTCTTTTTCTGGGAGACGCAAAATCCCAAAACACCTGAGGGTGTTATTCAACCCTTAACACTCTCCTGGGCTCCACCCCAGCCCACCACAGGGCCTTGGCACCTACAGTTTCTCCATCTAGAATGTGCTGGCCCTTGGGAGACCGAGGCGGGTAGATCACCTGAGGTTGGGAGTTCAAGACCAGCCTGACCAACATGGAGAAACCCTGTCTCTACTAAAAATACAAAATTAGCCGGGTGTGGTGGTGGTGCGTGCCTGTAATAGTCTCAGCTACTCTGGAGGCTGAGGCGGGAGAATAGGTTGAACCCGGGAGGCCGAGGTTGTGGTGAGCCGAGATCGCACCATTGCACTCCAGCCTGGGCAACAAGAGCGAGACTCACTTTGAAAAAAAGAGAAAGGAAAGGAACGCGCTGGCCCCTTTAGCCTCTGCTCAGTGCCACTGTCACCCTGTGGCCGGGACCTGGCAAATGTCCTCCTGGTCAGTATGTATAACACATCCCTTCAGCAGTGAGTATATCAGGTTTACTCCTCCAGCCCCAACCCCCACTCAGAGCTAAAGGAGCGTCGTGAAAATATGTTTCTGAGCACTCAGTGAGCATTAAAGACAAAAGACAATTTTCCCAGGATTAGCAGGGTGCTTGGATGCGGAGGCTGTTGAGCTCCTGGTACAAACATCCCCGATGCACAGCTGATCCTTCTTAAACCCCAGGGCGGCCGAATTCATTCCCTTCTTCTTTAACTTTCCTCGTTTGCTTTTCTAATTAAAAAAGTAATTCAGGTTCATTGTAGAAATGTCTAAAATGCAGATAAGCAAAACAAACGAAAACCATCCTGCACAGTCATCTCCCGTCACCCGGAGCTGACTGCGGACGCTTTTGTTCAGACCTGTTCTCCACGTGGACAGCGGGTCGCGGGCAGTGTGGGTCTGTCTGGGGCAGCATCACGGCCCGTTTTTAACATGTCTGTTTATTTGTGTATCGTTTGCCAACCATTTATTGATTTCCGCAGTTTACAAACGTTGCGCATTCAGCCTCGGGTTGTTTTCTGTTTGAGACCTCAGCACCCCAGAAGCAGGGGAGGGGAAAAGTGAAAATCCTTTTTATCCTTTTCTGCACACCTCCCCCTTCAGACCCTCTGGGGTAGCTGACTGCAGTTCGTGGTTGGCTGTGTATTTTTCTAGATATTTTTTGTGCATAAATGTATTTTCCTAAATGACGGTGGATCTTGCTGTCCACTGTTGTGTAATGTGTTTTGTGTCACTAGCTACACTGTGGACATCTTTTGGTGTAAGAGAAAGTGCGTGTGTGTGTGTGTGTTTCTGATTCTTTTTCCCTTGCTCAATCTATCCATCTATCTATATTTTGTCACTTTTTTTTTTTTTTTTGAGACAGAGTCTCATTCTGTCACCCAGGCTGGAATGCAGTGGTGCCATCTCAGCTCATTGCAACCTCCGCCTCCCTGGTTCAAACGATTCTGCCTCAGCCTCCCGTGTAGCTGGGACTACAGGCACCTGCCACCACACCCGGCTAAGTGTTGTATTTTTAGTAGAGACGGGGTTTCACTGTGTTGGCCACTCTGGTCTCCAGCTCTGGACCTCGTGATCCACCCGCCGTGGCCTTCCGAAGTGCTGAGATTACAGGTGTGAGCCACCTCGCCTGTATTTTGTCCCTTTTAATGGGAAGTGTATCTCGTCAGCTGGAAGTCTGCACTGCACTTCATCAAAGCAGCGCCTCACAACTGGATTTTTTTCTGCTCCTGTAAATAGCAGTGCAGAGAGCATCTTTGTGCACAGCTGTCTGTGCCCCGGTCTGCTTCCTCAGGATAAACGCCTGGAAGTGGAGTCATTAGAGCGAAGCCCGCGCCGTACTCTCTGAAGGCCTGGGAAGGTTTGCTGTGTGGGGGCCCCGGTACCGTCACGGGGCGGTGACGGGCAGTGCTCTTCCACATCCATCCCAGCTGTCCCCACACCCCTTCTCACAGGCGCCTGCACATCGCTATGAGCAGCCGAGCCTCTTAGATTGAGACTCTGAAATTAAATTTGCATTTATTTCTATTTACTCAATATCAACATTTCTTTTTCCTATTATACTGTGTAGAGTCCTAAACGTATGTTTAATCACTGGCCCACCAGAAGAGGTCACCGGCCACAGAAAGGCAGGGATTTGTTTTTGATTTGTTGCAAAGGAATTTGGGTGTTTGTATAAATACCATATATCATTTATAAAGACTATAAATCATTAATGTCTTGATGCCCTGGGAATCGGAGAGACCCTGGTTTAATTTCTTCCATTTCTGTGTGTGTGTGTGGGTGTGTGGTTTATGTAGCATGTGTGGTGTGTGTGTGGGTTATGTAGTCTGTGTGGTGTGTGTGTGTTTTATGAGTCTGTGTGGGGTGTGTGTGTGTGGGGTGTGTGTGTGTGGGGGGTGTGTGTGTGTGTGTGTGGTTTATGTAGTCCGTGTGTGGGGTGTGTGTGGGTTATGTAGTCTGTGTGGTGTGTGTGGGGGTTATGTAGTCTGGTGTGTGTGTGTGTGCGCGTGCGTTATGTAGTCTGTGTGGTGTGTATGTGGGTTATGTAGTCTGTGTGGTGTGTGTGTGTGGTTTATGAGTCTGTGTGTGTGTGTGTGTGTGTGTGCGTTATGTAGTCTGTGTGGTGTGTGTGTGGTTTATGTAGTCTGTGTGGTGTGTGTGTGGGTTATGTAGTCTGGTGTGTGTGTGTGGTTTATGTAGTCTGGTGTGTGAGTGTGTGTGCATGCGTTATGTAGTCTGTGGTTGTGTGTGTGTGTATGCGTGTGTTATGTAGTCTGCGTGGTGTGTGTGGGGGTTATGTAGTCTGTGTGGTATGTGTGTGTGGTTTATGTAGTCTATGTGGTGTTTGTGTGGTTGATGAGTCTGTGTGGTGTGTGTGTGTGGTGTGTGTGTGGTTTATGTAGTCTCTGGTGTGTGTGTGTGGTTTATGTAGTCTGGTTGTGTGTGTTTGTGCGCATGCATTATGTAGTCTGTGTGGTGTGTATGTGGGTTATATAGTCTGTGTGGTATGTGTGTGTGGTTTATGTAGTCTATGTGGTGTGTGTGTGGTTGATGAGTCTGTGTGGTGTGTGTGTGTGGTGTGTGTGTGGTTTATGTAGTCTGTGGTGTGTATGTGTGTGTGTGCGCATTAGTCTGTGTGGTGTGTGTGTGGGTTATGTAGTCTGGTGTGTGTGTGTGTGTGGTTTAGTCTGGTGTGTGTGTGGTTTATGTAGCCTGTGTGTGTGTGTGTGTGTGTGCGCGCGCATTAGTCTGGGGTGTGTGTGTGGTTTATGTAGTCTGTGGTGTGTGTGTGTGGGGGGTGTGTGGTTTATGTAGTCTGTGTGGTGTGTGTGTGTATGTGTGCGTGCATTAGTCTGTGTGGTGTGTGTGTGTGGTTTATGTAGTCTCTGTGTGTGTGTGTGGTTTATATAGTCTGTGTGGTGTGTGTGTGGTTTATGTAGTCTGTGTGTGTGTGTGTGTGTGTGTGTGTGTGGTTTATATAGTCTGTGTGGTGTGTGTGTGGTTTATGTAGTCTGTGGTGTGTGTGTGGGGGGGGTGTGTGGTTTATGTAGTCTGTATGGTGTGTGTGTGTGTGTGTGTGTGTGTGCATTAGTCTGTGTGGTGTGTATGTGGTTTATATGGCAGGTTGCTGAGTGAGAACACCACCCTGGGTGCTGGTGAGAGTGGAGGGCCACCTGCTCGCAGCTGGGCCCCCAGGCCCTGCCCTCTCCGTGTGGCGGTCCCTCCCGCCTTCCCGTGACCCCGTGTGCCGGGACAGGGAGGAGCCGCAGTGGGAGGAAGCTCGGTGCCTGTGGGCGCAGCAGGGTGGCCTCCGCAGACCTCCTGGGGAGAGGTGTGGGGTGGCGCCTTCATTCACACGGCAGCTTCCGTTCCCTGGAAGTGAGTCCTCAGAGACGTGGGTGCCGGCCCCTGCGCACAAGCCGGCTCGGTGCTATTCTGGTGGGAAAATGCCAACATGCTTGACCAAGGCGCTGTGGGCGCGAGGCTTCCCTGCGGAGACAGACTTAAAAGAGTTCTTCAGCCGGGCGCGGTGGCTCACGCCTGTCATCCCAGCACTTTGGGAGGCCGAGGCGGGTGGATCACGAGGTCGAGAGATCAAGACCATCCTGGTCAACATGGTGAAACCCCGTCTCTACTCAAAATACAAAAAATTAGCTGGGCATGGTGGCGCGTGCCTGTAATCCCAGCTACTCAGGAGGCTGAGGCGGGAGAATTGCCTGAGCCTAGGAGGCGGAGGTTGAGGTGAGCCGAGATCGCGCCATTGCACTCCAGCCTGGGTGACAGAGCGAGACTCCTTCTCAAAAAAAAAAAAAAAAAGTTCTTCAAACCTGTCTGATCTCCTTAATGAGAGGGGTTGGAGAATCTTCCGGACCAGCACCGATGAACAGACCTTTCTTTCATAATGCAAGTGTCCTGTAGCTGTGCTGGTCAGCACGGCAGCCACTGGCCACACGTGGTTACTGAGCACCCGAAAGGTGGTCATGCTGCTGAGAAATGAAATGTTTCATTTTAATGAATTTTTCAAAACATTCAGATTTAAGAATCCTGGAGATTTTTTGTACAACAATGTGAATGTACCTAACGTGACTGAATTGGACGCTTCAAAGTAGTTAAGATGGTAAATGTGATGGTATGTTTTATGGTATGTTTTTACCACAATTTAAAGAGAAAAGTCAGCACAGGCGAGATACAAAAAGACAAATGTCTATGCGATTCCACTGACAGGAGAGACCCAGAGGAGTCAAAGTCATAGTGACAGAGAGTAGGATGATTGGTGGCTCTCAGGGGCTGGGCGGAGAGTCAGAGTCTCATGTTGGGAACACGAAGAGTATCTGGAGATGTGCCTGTGTGTGTTCCCAACGATGAGAAAGTACTTACTGCCACTGACCTGCGCACTTAGGTTGGAAACAGACGCTCGGTGCCACGAAGAAAAGTCAGCACTGAGACAAAGGATCTCTCAGCAAGCAATTTTTACTTCCTGCACTGCAGGAAAGGGACCCTCACTAGCCATCTTGCCATGAGAGTATAATGAACAGAGGAAAGCAGACGTGTTTATTCCTTGCGCATTTGGGGTCGTCCTCACTGCTGTGTCTGGTCTCCGTTGGCTGGAGCCAGACCTCACAATCTAAACTAAAACCCGATTGGTAATAACTGGAAACTTTTCTAAAGAGGTAAAAGCAGTGGAGAGCTGGGACATGCCTGTGAGCACGTCCAGCACAGAGATCTTGGGTAAAGTACAAGGACACAGAATGTACCACGTGCCTGGAAGCATGGCGTGTCCAACGGCTACAGAGGACAGGGCTTCACAGAGTTATTAGCACACTTATTCTTTAACAGGAGAGAAATTTTGAAGAGGAACTTTCCTACTTCCCACAATTTAGAAACAGTTAAGATGGCGAATTCTAGCCTGTGTATATTTTATCACAACAAAAAAGAATTAAGTCAGCAACATTCAGACACAAACATTTTTTACTTAAATAGCTGCATGTGGCCATGGGCTACCATGTTGGACAGCAGCTCTAGAGCCATGGAGGCTGGGGCTGCAGTCACTGTGGTCTCTGCTGCAAGACAGAGTGGTGAGGGCCACCCAGTCCCAGCTCTGTGCCCTGCAGGTCTGAATGAGTTATTCCAGCAGCCGATGCTGAGGGAGCACTCACTGTGCCAGGGGCTCCCTGCCCGCCCTCTCGCTGTGTCTTTACGGTAGCCCTGGGCGATGGGAGTCAGTGCTATCCCTGGGGTCAGCAGGAGGGGACGGTTCCAAAGGCACAGTCCTAGCCAGGCCGCTGCACTCAGCTCCAAACACTCATCTCATTGTATTTAGTATTCGCAGTGCCCACGTATCACAGCCCTCCCGCCCTTTTGCTTTTCCTAGATTAGGCGCCGGGTCTCAAAGGATTTCATGATCATCCCTTCACTTGATTCCAGATTCTCCTGCCTGAAGTGAGAGGAGGGATGGATTGCTTTACTTTAAAATATTTCTGGCTAGGTGCAGTGGCTCTCACCTGTAATCCTAGCACTTTGGGAGGCTGAGGAAAGCCGATCACTTGAGCCCTGGAATTTAAGACCAGCCTGGGCAATATGGCAAAACGCTGTCTCTACAAAAAATACGAAGGCTGATACAGGAGAATCACTTGAACCCAGGAAGCAGAGGTTGCAGTGAGTGGAGACGGTGCCATTACACTCCGGCCTGGGCAACAAGAGCAAAATTCTGTCTTAAAAAACAAAAACTAAAACAAAAAGCTGGCCGTGGTGGTGTGCACCTGTAGTCCCAGCTGCTTGGGAGGCTGAGGTGGGAGGATCACCTGAGCCCGGGGGGGTCGAGGTGGTAGTGAGGCTTGATTGCATCAGTGCACTCCAGCCTGGGTGACAGAGAGACTGTCTTAGAAGAAAAAAATATGCCCCCCCTTGAGTTTGTGCAAAGTATTTGCCAACCCCATACCCCACCCGGAAACATCACAAGCTTTCTCTGCAGTTTGCAGATGGTGTATACCTGGTTCTGCTCATGGGTCTTCTGGAAGACTACTTTGTTCCTCTCCACAACTTCTACCTGACGCCGGAAAGCTTCGATCAGAAGGTATGTGCGCGGTCTCCGTCCGTGGTCGTGGCTCAAGAAACGCTCATTGAAATGCAGGGCATAGGACATCCTGGCAGCTCTTTCTGCGGCCTGGCTGCATTCTTCAAAAAGTAAAAAGCGCACAAGTGATACTGCAATTAGCAGGAAGTCTCAGCAGAAGAAATAGGAAGCCCATCAGCAGGGCACAGCGCATCCGAGTTTTGTTTGCCACATTTTCTCTGGGGTCTTTTCCACGGGACCGTGTGGTTTTTTTGCTTTGTTTTTTGAGGTGGAGTCTCACTCTTGTCACCCAGGCTGGAGTGCAGTGGCGTGATCTCAGCTCACCGCAACCTATGCCTCCTGGTTCAAGCGATTCTCCTACCTCAGCCTCCTGAGTCACTGGGACTACGTGCCTGTCACCACGCCTGGCTAATTTTGTATTTTTAGTAGAGACGGGTTTTCAACGTATTGGCCAGGCTGGTCTCAAACTCCTGACCTTATCATCCTCCTGCCTCGGCCTCCCAAAGCGCTGGGATTTCATGTGTGAGCCACCGCGCCCAGCCGGGACCGTGTAGTTTTTAATAACTGTGGTCCCATCTCAGGAGAGCTGTAAACCTTTCCCCTGTCCCGCTGCAGATCCAGCACGTGTGGTTTTCCCTGCTGCTTCCCAAGCTTCCCAAATGCCATGTGCAGTAGTGGCACAAAGTCCCAAGCATGGCTCCGTTACCAGTGTCTCCCCATTCCCTATTCTTGGCCATCAACTTGAAAGTGTTTCTATTTTTTTTTCCTACTGAAACGACAGAACATCTTTTTGACATAGAGCTTATTTTTTCATCCCTGTGGATTGTTTTCTTGGGAACATTTCTCAGATAGGGTCATCTGGGTCATTCCTCTCAATCGGGCTGGCCCATGCCCCTGGTCCCACCGTGGCCGCCCTGTGTGTGGGCTCCTCCCTGCTGTCTGCCCTCTGCCAGGGCTCCCGCAGTGGAGCCGCTCGTGACGGTATTTAAGAACTTGGCCATGGGTGGTCTGCATTGCTTTGGATTCACGGGCATCTGTCATTTTATTTTCTCGAAGTGTTAGACCCATGAGTCAGGGAGGCAGACGATGTGAGCTGGTGGTGGCAGCCAGAGGAACAGCAGAAATGGGGCCAGTGTTTATCAAGCTGCCCACTGCTGGCTCAATGCGGTCTGTTTGCTTGTGGCCAAATGTTGTTCCTGTCTTGCCTGCTGAGATGGAATCAGGACAGATTAGAGAGGTCTTGGCACATGGAGTCCATGTTGAATCCAGAGAGAGAGAGAGAGAGAGAGAGAGAGAGAAAGGGGGTGGGGAGGGAGGGAGGGAGAGCAGGAGAGCGCGCAGAGGGAATGAGCAACAGCTTGCAGGACTCCCCGGAACCGTGGGTGCCTGTGCCGCCGTCCTGGGACTGGAAGGGCAGGCAGTGCGGTGAAGACGCCCGCACCTCTCCGGGCCCTGACACGGCTGGTTGCAGAAACATTGTTTTGGAGAGTTCTTTTCTTTGTTCAAACTAGTAAGAACGCTGGCGAGAGCAGTGAGTGTAGCCAGGAGACGCAGAGCCGGTTTCTTTCCAAGACAAGGCTTTGTACAAATGTCAGAGGCGTCATCTCCCGGGCCCTGGCCTTCTTCCCTTGGAAACCGGGATGAACGTCTTTGACCATTGCTGCCCTGGCCTGCGAGGCTTGAGGAGGCGCGAGTCATCGGCTTTCCCCTCGGACTCGCAGCGAGGAAGGGAAGGCTGTTTTCAGGTAGAGCGTCAAGCAGACCATTCATCGTGTTCAGTCAGGAGAACGGGAGCCTGGGGTGGCGGCGTGGCTCTGCGGGTGGCTGGAGATGGGAGGATGTCAGCAGCTTTGGAGGATGGGAGGATGGGGGATGGGGGATGGGAAGATGGGGGTGGGGGATGGGAAGATGGGGGTGGGGGATGGGAGGATGGGGGTGGGGGTGGGGGATGGGAAGATGGGGGATGGGAGGAGTTCCTCCGGCCCTTGCGTTTTTCCCCTTTCTCCTGGTGGTTTGATGGTTATAATGGCAGCGGCTGTCAAGTCTCCATGGGCCCACGGTATTTATTCTCTTGTAGTCCTCATGACCCCTGGACAGGTGGGTGGTCCCCTGCTGCGGAGGACTCGCCCACTTCGGGCTGGGCCCGGCACCCATGTGCTCAAAACTGCTCGCAGACAGGATGTTGGTGACGTCCCCTGCTCATGTCTCTTGTGGGCTGAGACGCCCTGGGAATCCTTAACAGCTGCTCCACATTTTTGGAGGAGGGACTGAGGTTCAGAGCAAAACCAGAGATGCATCGTGGGCTGCTGTCCCGAGGGTAGTCATGGCTTATGGTTTTAAAAAACTGCATTGGATTAGAAAACAAAAAATCACGCTGGACAGCTCACAGCCTATAGGGTTGTGCCCCGTGAGCTGCCTCAGAGGCGTGAGTGTGGCCTGGCTTTTTTTTTTTTATTAAGAGATGGAGTTTCACTCTTGTTGCCCAGTCTGGGGTGCAATGGTGCCATCTCAGCTCACCGCAGCCTCCGCCTCCCAGGTCTAAGTGATTCTCCTGCCTCAGCCTCCCAAGTAGCTGCGATGACAGGCGTGTGCCACCTTACCCGGCTGATTTGTATTTTTAGTAGAGACAGGGTTTCTCCATGTTGGCTAGGATGACCTCGAAATCCTGACCTCAGGTGATCCACCCACCTCAGCTTCCCAAAGTGCTGGAATTCCGGGCGTGAGCCACCGCGCCTGGCGTCCCTGGCTTTCTGTTGCAAAGCCACCGTGGAGCCTCACCCTACACAGGCCGCGTGCTCAGTGCCTTGCACCCCTTGACCGTCATTCTGGGAGACTCTGCAGGCCCCCCGTCTCTGTGGAGTGGGTTGTACCCTGGAGACGTGGAGACGTTTCCTAGAAGAAAACGTGAGTTGCTTCCCCTCAGCATTACTGGATGAGGACAGGCAATCTCAGGAGGGCTTCGAGGCCAGCCCAGGGTTGCACAGCCAGCAACCGCAGAGTCAGGAGGGTCGACTCCTGTTCCAGAACCTTCTATCCTTTCTTCACCCGGCCAGGTTGACTGAAACCTTTTGAACTGTGGGAAGGATTTCTGCCCATGTGGCTGGCTCGAAGCAGGGCTGCGTATGGCCCGATCTTCGTTGGGCCGTGGGGCCTCCCACGGCAGTCAGGGTCAGAGTCAGGGTGGGTGGTCCCCAGGCCTCCCCAGGAGCTGCATGCTGGGAATCTGCCCTGATCCTGTCCTGCGGGGCATGGAAGGTGGCTGAGGGCAGAGGAAGGGCCCTGAGAGAGGACAGGCACGGGATGGTGGCAGTTTCCTGCCCGACATTCCCTCCGTCTGAGAAGAAAGCAGAAGGAAAATCTCACTTCCAAACCAATCACTGTGGGGTCCAGTGTCTGCAGAGCAGTGAGGCCTGGAAGGGGCTTGGAAGGGGCTTTGCTCTCCCCGTGAGCTGTTCTCTCCTGGGGCGGGGGTGCCCACCTCGTCGCCCGATCACGCCCTCCAGCTGTCTCTGAGCGTCTCCACGTGGCCGCACCTCCTCCTGAGCATCCCCCCTTCTCTGCATGGAAGAGGGTTCCTCAGGCTTCAGAGGCGTCCGGGAGAGGCAGGAAAACAGACTGGTCCAGATTGGTGCCAATTTCACACCAGGGAAGAATCTTTCCTTAAAGGAAAGATGCCCGAGTAGTAACAGACGCTTGTCTTTCGGGGGAGGTCACGGTAGGTGGGGAGGTGGTCCGCTTTCTGCGGCGTCCAACAGCGTCTTTTCCTGCCGTTCCCTCTCTTTGCTCTCCTGTCTCCTTCTCCATTTGGGGTCGAGCCTGTTGTGTGTGCGTGTGCACACGTGTGTGAGAGCTCATTTGATGACGTGGACGGTGGTCAGCCAGAGGGACCGGTGTTGCTAGGGGAGCCGAGGCAGGAGGCTCCTGGAGGAGGATGGGCACAGATGCCGGATCAGACTTAAATGTGTTTCCGTCCTGGTTGCATCCCTTTGAGCCCTGTGCCTTTTTAGGGCACTGACGTCCCAGCACCGTCCTCTGAGAAAGAAGAGGGCACCCAGCCTCACACAGGGCCGGGAGGGGAAAGGGAGCCTGTGCCGGACGCGCCTGCCCCATGGCGGGTGCCAGCATCCACAGGCTGCCCCTGCCCTCTCCTTAGGGGACCTGCTCTCTGCACCCTCCACACGGGCTGTTTTGCTCCTTCCCCTTTCCAGTGTTCGGCCACCCTCAGGCCTAGCCTGCGGCAGCGCACCCCCATATCCAGGCAGGCTGTCCTGCAGGGTTGGGGCGTCTGCTCTGCTGCCTGTTCTGGAGCAGGGTCTCGGTTTGCTCACCCTCCCCGCCTCCAGGGTGGACATGGCCTGCCCTCCTCCCGGGCAGTGTCTTCCCCACTGACCCCGTGTCGCGGTTGGCACAGGCCGTGTGCACTGTGGAAGCGTTTCCAAAGCCCCCCACGCTGTTTTCCAGTGCTGTGCATTGGATTAACCCAGGGAAGCCTCTTTTTCCTGGTTAATTATTCAATTACATTCCAAGTCAAATTGTTCATGCTTCTGATTCATTGACTTCAGAATCATGAAAATATGATGACTGAAAGCATTTTTTGCCTTGTTTGTTTGTTTGTTTGTTTCAAGACAGACTTGCTCAGTCGCCCAGGCTGGAGTGCAGTGGCAAGATCTCAGCTCACTGCAACCTTGCCTCCCAGGTTCAAGCGATTCTCATGCCTCAGCCCTCAAGTAGCTGGGATTACAGGTGTGCATCACCAAGCCCAGCTAATTTTTTAAATTATAGCAGAGACAGGGTGCTTCTGCTCGGGACTGTCTGTAAAATGGGGCCAATGTGGGCCAGGCACAGTGGCTATTACCTATAATCCCAGCACTTTGGGAGGCTGAGGCAGGTGGATCACTTGAGCCTAAGAATTAAGAGACTAGCCTGACCAACTTGGCAAAACCCATCTCTAAAAAAAAAAATAATAACCATACAAAAATTAGCCAGACACAGTGATGCATGATTGGAGTCCCAGCTACTGGAAAGGGGAGGCAGGAAGATGGCCGGAGCCTGGGCAGCGGAGGCTGCAGTGAGCCGAGATCTTGCCACTGCACTCTAGCCTGGGTGACAGATCCTGTCTCAAACAAAAGGAAATAAGTAAGGAAATAAAGAAGTAAAATGGGGTCACTGTGACTTCTCATCACACGGCTGGCGTCCGGGGCAGAGCAGGCTCTTGTCGGCTGTGAGCCCTTGAAAGCTGGCCAGGCGCCTCACCCTTCCTTATCTCAGTGTAGACCAGCAGCGTGAGGAGTGAGCATCGCCCAGGAAGTACACGTGGCCCTCTGCAGGCTTCCCCGTCCCTGCCCACCCTGTGGCCTGCCCTGGGCTCGGCGGGTCCTTGTGGACCTCAGTGTTCCAGAGGCTCCGTCCTGTCTACACTGGCTGTCCTCAAGCAGTGAGCAGTGGACGGGCCTGGGTAGGGGACGGCTGCTGGACCCCACCGCTGACCTGCCCCCTTCCTCGGCAGGTCCATAACGTGTCCTTCGCCTTTGAGCTGATGCTGGACGGAGGCCTGAAGAAACCCAAGGCCCGCCCTGAAGGTAATGTCTCTGGCTCAGGATCCCCGGGAGGGCTGGGCGTGGAGGGGAGGAAAACCGGGTCCCAGAAGTGGCTGGAAGGCTGGCGTGTTGTTCCCCAGATGGGCCCCGCATCTCTGGCTCTGGGGCGAGGGTTTGCCCACTCCAGCTCCCCGGTCTCCTCATTTTGGGGACCAGGAGGACTTTGCTGGTGGAGCTGGCAGGGCTGGTTCTTGAATAACCGCTTTGAAGGACGTGGCCTCTGCCCACAGAACTCAGGATGAAGTGCGTCTCCAGCTGGCCACGTGGGCTGGAAATGCAGCTGTGTGGCCTGAGAAGGTATTAAAGGCTTACTCAAATTTAGTGACGCTTGGGGTGGAGTTCTCCTGGTGCTCAGCCAAACGCGGCACTTGGGAGCGGGGACTTGGCGCGCTCCTGCTCTGTGTGGGTCTGAGCTGGGGGTAAGAGGCCAGGAGAGCCGGGGCGAGCGGTCACTTCACTGTCCTCACCTGGCTCCTGTGCTGAGTTGCCTGTCCAAGGACTCTAACCCGAACGAGCCTCAGAATTCCTGGGAAGGGTTCTTTGTAAGTGCCTGGGGACGGCCAGGCTCAGTAGATCGTGGGTGGAACTGCCCGCAAGCCCTGCTGGAAAGTTGCAGGGCAGAGCCGAACATGAAACGCTCTGATAAGTCCTGTGTGACGCCATCTCTTTGCCGCCATCAAAACGTTTGCCACGTACGAGGAGCCCACAGAACTCAGACACTGTGGTTTATGCCCGCGGGCCCCTGCCTTGACTGTGGCTCCTACCCAGCCCTGCTCCCTCTCCTGAGTCCCCCATCGGAGTACATGAGTCAGGGGTCCGTGATGCTTCTTCCGTCTGTTGCCAGCATCCCCTCAGAGGCGGGCATGGACAGTCTCCGACACAGTGAGAAAATGGCTCCCGTCCCTTCCATCCACCCGCTGCCCTCGCCGTCCCCTGCCAGTCCACGGGGAAAGCCCTGGCCGGTCCCCTCCTGCCCAGGCGTCCTCCTCTCAGGGTTTCACAGGACGATTCCACACCCTCCGGTCTCATTGCCTGTGTGGCTGTTTATTCTTTTTTGTTTCGAGACAGGGTCTCACTCTGTCGCCCAGGCTGGAGTGCAGTGGTGTGATCGCAGCTCACTGCAGCCTCCGCCTCCTGGGTTCACACCATCTTCCCACCTCAGCCTCCCAAGTTGCCAGGACTAAGGTACGCACCACCACACCGGCTGATTTTTTAACTTTCTTTCTTTTTTTTTTTTTTTTTTGTAGAGGCGAGGTCTCACTATGTTGCCCAGACTGGTCTCGACCTTCTGGGTTCCAGCAATTTGCTGCCTCCCATGACGGGCACAATTCCCCATGCCTGGCCTTGTTGATTTTTTTGGTTTTCTTTTTTGAGATGGAGTCTCACTCTGTCTCCAGGTCGGAGCACAATGGCATGATCTCAGCCCACTGCAACCTCCGACTCCCGGGTTCAAGCGATTCTCCTGCCTCAGCCTCCTGAGTACCTGGGATTACAGGCGCACCACCACATCCAGCGAATTTTTGTTGTATTTTTAGTAGAGACGGGGTTTCACCGTGTTGCCCAGGATGCTCTCCAGCGAGCGTGTGGCCAGCTGCTGCCCTTCAGGGCTGGCATGGCCTGGGTCTCCGGGACTCCTCATGGCCGCTGCCCTGCAGCCCTTTTGTGGCTGTGAGGCAGGGGCATGAGGGAGTGGCTGGGGGCCCAAGGGACCCTGCTCTGCCTCTCCCAGCTGTGTGTCCTCGGGCAGGTTACTTTGCCTTTCTGTGCCAGGGCCGCCTCATCTGTGCAGGGGAGTGACCACGGCACCTGCGTCCACACACCTCCTGGGGTCGCCGGGGGAGCAGGTGCATCCCACAGGACTTGTCAGAGCCTTCCGTGTTCAGCTCTGCCCTGTAACTTTCCAGCAGGGCTGATGGGCAGTGCCACCCATGTTCTGCTGAGCCTGCCTGCCCCTCAGCACCTAGTAAGCTCAAGTGAGCTGCTTCTATGAGCACTGGAGGGGGGTCCTGCTCACAGAATTAAATACATGATGAGATTAAATATATGAGATTATACTTGATGAGATTATAGATGATGAGATATAAATGAGATTATAAATGATGAGCTTATACATGAGATTGTACATATGATACATATATGATGAGATTGAGGAGATCATATATATGAGGTCATATATCAGGGGATCATATATGATGAGATTATAAATGATGAGATTATAGATGGTGATATACATATAGATTATATATGATGAGACTATCTGATGAGATTATATATGATGGGATTATATATGAGACCATATATATGATGAGATATATATGATGAGTTTATATGTAATGCAATTATATATGATATTATATATGATGAGATTGTATATGAGATTATACGATGGGATATATATGATGAGATATATATGAGGAGATTAAATATATGTTGAGATTAAATGTGTGATGGGATTATGATTGGATTATATATGATGAGATTATACATATGAGATATATGTGATGAAATGAGATCATATATGATGAGATTATGTATGTGATGAAATGAGATCGTACATGATAAGATTATCTATGTGATGAGATCATATATGATGAGATTATCTATGTGATGAGATCATGTATGCTGTTGGTTAGCATTAGTGTACGGTGGGGTCACACACCGTCAGGGAGGAGAAATCCTTGCTCATGTCCGCCGAGGGCTTAGCTGGGGCTTTCTTTAGTCTCCTGTAACCCAAAGCCTGGGCCCCATCTGCAGCACGGGGTGGCCCCCCCCATACCCTTGGAAGAGCCCGTGGCGGCCCTTGGCCTCTGAGCTGCTGAGGGAGCTCTGTTTCTTTGTTCCCACAGCCCCCACCCTTTTTCTTTTTCCTGAGACACAGTCTTGCTCTGTCACCCAGGCTGGAGTGCAGTGGCCCCATCCCATCTCACTGAAATCTCCGCCTCCCGGGTTCAGGCAATTCTCCTGCTTCAGCCTCCCCAGCAGCTGCAATTACAGGCACCTGCCACCACGCCTGGCTAGTTTTTGTATTTTTAGTAGAGACGAGGTTTCACCACGTTGGCCAGGCTGGGCTCAAACGCCTGACCTCAGGTGATCCAGCCGCCTCAGCCTCCCAAAGTGTTGGGATTACAGGTGTGAGCCACTGCGCCCGGCCCTTTGTCCCCTTTTTGAGGAGTGAGGCAGGAGCATGTCCAGAGGCCAGGACATGCTCTGACAGGCCGGCCTCCGAGGAGGGGTGTGCCCTGAGCCGGGATGTGCTTTGCACTCATCTGCCTCTGGGAGCGAGGCTGGATGGCACATTCGGAAAGCCGCCACGGAGCCCTAGAAACCAGGCCAGAGGCAGAGGCGCTGGCCCCGGGCAGATCGCGAGTTCTGCAGCCTCCCAGGCAGGGTCCCTCCCATGTCCCAGGGCCTTTGTCCAGCCCGGCAGGGGACAGACCTGGTCTGCAGTGCTCATCAGCACCTTCGCTGGGCCAGCCCTGGCCAGGGGCCAAGCCGTGGAGATTTATGAGACGGGGTCCCTGCTGGGCCTCTTTACTTTGTGGCTGATGCAAGGAATGAGAGATTTTTCCTTCTTCATTCAAAACCAGCTGGGGAGCAAGAATTGGGGGGTGCCAGAGATGAGAATGATACGGAGAACGGGGCGCAGTGGCTACGGCCTCCCTGACACCCTCCGCCGAGCTAGGCAGACTTACCTGGTACTCGGAGCTGGTGGGAGGGAGGCAGTGGCTGCGGCCTCCCCCACGGGCCTGAGACTGCCCTGCGGGTGCCCCCCGGAAGAAGCAGGGCAGTCTCACGCTCCCTGCACGTGGCGCATCTGAGCAGCCAGGCCTGCACCTGGTTCCCCAGGCCCCCAGCTCTGATGAGCATCCCAGCCCCCTGCCCCCTTGGGGGGAGCTGGAGGAGACTCCAGTGGGGTCCCCAGCCCTGCCCTTAAGGAGGCCCCTTGCCTGGGAGAGAGCCTCGTCACTCGCTGGAAGGTCACAGGGCTGAGTGCCTGAGCTGGTCGGTGAGGTGGGCCTTTGGGAGCACAGCGGGACTGGAGTTCACGGGTCACAGAATGGGATTCCTGTCTCCCTGGGCGCAGGTGCTGAGTGGTGGCCATGGTTATCAGGCTCTGGCAGGGCTGCGAGGGCGGGCTGAGTTCTGTTTGCCCAGCGAGGCTGTCTGGAAGTTCTCAGAGCTCAGACCTGGGGGCATCAGTGCCAGGCTGCTGCTCTGGTCTCCCTGTGAATCCCCCGTGGGAGTGGACTCAGTGGGGCTCAGCGGGTGACGGCCCCCACCTCTGGGATCTCCTGTGTCCTCGCAGTCCCCCTCGCCTTGGTCCCCTCCAGCTCCATGGCGCCACCCTCCCTCCCCTGCCTGCGCTGGGCTGTCAGGAGCTGGGGTGGACCCTTCCGGCCAGGGGGAGACCCCAGGATCCTCAGCAGGGCCCCAGGTGCGTCCTCAGCCCGCCGAGCCGAGTTCAGCACACTTGAGGCCGGTCCTTTCCCCACGCTGAGTCTCGGTCTTCTTTGTGAAATGGGAGGGAAGGAAAGGGGGCCGTGCGGGCTCTGAGGAGGCTGCTCGAGTTGAGAAACTCCACCCCAGTGACAAGGACAGTTGCTGATTCTTAGCAGCCACCCCGCCTGCTCTCTCAGTGACAGATGCCATTTCTTGCTCTTGTGGTCAGGCTAAAGCACAGGGTCACCCGTGGTTACCTTTGGATCACAGGGTTCAGGGCTCAAAGGGTCTCGAGTGTGTCATCTGGTCCGGGCCCATTTTACTGATGAAGAGACTGAGCCACACCTGCAGCATGGGGTGCCCCCCCATGCCCTCAGAAGAGGCCCTGGCCAAGGGCCACTGAGCTGCTGAGGGAGCCCTGCTTCTTTGTCCCCCTGCCCCGCCCCCACTGGAGTCTGGCTCTGTCACCCAGGCTGGAGTGCAATGGCGCAATCCCAGCTCACTGCAATCTCCACCTCTTGGGTTCAAGCGATTCTCCTGCTTCAGCCTTCCAAGTAGCTGGGATTACAGGCACCCACCACCATGCCTGGCTAATTTTTGTATTTTTAGTAGAGACGGGGAAGTCACTTAGAGGTCACAGAGCAAGTGAAAGGAACAAGGTGTCTGGTTGCCAAGAAGGTTCTCTTCCAACCAAAGAAAGTGGCCCAAGACTTCCAGGGCCCCAGAGGGAGCTGTCGGGTCCACCAAGTGTTACTGGGGTTTTTGGCCCCAATAAGTGTCATTAGCTACACCCCCCAACCGGTCCTTAGACACGTCCGGATGCGGATCCAGGAGGGGCTGTGGGGGTGTCTCTGTCCTTGTATCCCAGGTGCTTGTCCCTGCCGGGTGTCAGCCTGCACCAGGAGCTGTCACACAACCTGTGTGGCTGCGGAGACATTGCCCAGAGCGCCCTGGACAGGGTGGCGGTCAGTCTCTAAGGGGAAGCACTCATGGAGATGCAGCAGCTGGTGTCATGCTGGAGACGTGGCTTCTGAGAGTACTGACCGCAAGGACGGGGGAGGGCATGGCCCCTGAAGTTTCTCTGTTTCCTTCTGCAGACGTGGTGAACTTGGACCTGAAATCCACACTGCGGGTTCTTTACAACCTGTTCACCAAGTACAAGAATGTGGAGTGACGGGGGACAGTGCTGCGGACGGTGGCAGGAGTGACCAGCAGGAAAAGCAGCGTCTGTCTGTGCCCTGTGCCTTTCCAGGGAGGCAGGCGCCGGGGGCTTCTGGTCCCAGCTGTGTGACTGTCATCCCCACCCCACCCTTACCCCCCTCTACCCTTAACCCACCCCCAACCCCACCCCTACCCACATCCCAGCCCACCCCCACCCCTCCACCACACCCCCCACACCCACACCCCCCCACTCCACCCCCCCCACGCCCACATCCCCCCACTCTCCCCAACCCCCTCTGCCTTTTCTGGCTGTTGTCCCCAGTCCCCTTTCCGTGTCATTCCCATGGTGAGAGCCTTTGAACATGCAGGATTCCGAACCCCGGTGCTTGTGTCTGAGGCCTCGAGTCACCCCGGTTGCGTGGGATGCTGAGTCCGTTGTTATCTGCCTTGGCCAAAAGATGAAAAAAAAAGAGCCTGAACCCCTGTCCCCGCTGATTGAGAACACCCCGCATTCTGCCTGCTGGTGCAATTAGTGATCACAGGCCCTCAGAAGCTGTGGCGTCAGCTCCGCAGGAACGCCTGCTCCCCGAGGACCCGCGCTTGACGGCCCACCGGGGCTCTCCCGGGCCGGGCTCTCCTTTTAATAAAAGGGTTGTGCAGTTTGAAAACCTTTAAAGTGACAGAAGCTTAGATGTGGCACACGTGTTCTCCAGCCACATTCCTGTCACTTCTTGGCCAGTCCTTGTTGTTTTAATGTAGCTTTTGCACAAACATCCAAGACCCAGGACGGCCCAGCTGCCACCGTCCTTGGAAGGAGCTGTCTGCTGGGGGCGTTTCCGCATTTCTCACTGTGGTTGAGGGGCTGGGGCTGGAGAGGGTGGTTCTAATTGTGCTGCTGGAGACGGCGGGGGCCCGAGCTTTCCCCTTCAGAGGCCCTTTTAGGGAATAAATGCGTCTTCAGACACCTTAAAATGAGGGTGTGCATTGGTTTGAGGGCCGTGTGTAATAGAGGCCACAGGTGAGTCGCCCAGATGTCAGAGTCATGTCCTCAGGCCTCTCGCCGTGTCTTCACGTGGTCTTCCCCCTGTGCGTCTGTGTCCTCACCGCCTCTCTTATTTTTATAATGTATTTTTTGAGACAAGGTCTCACTGTCCCCAGGAGTGAAGTGGTGCCATCTCAGCTCACTGCAGCCTTGATCTCCCAGGCACGAGTGATCCTCCCACCTCAGCCTCCCGAGTCGCTGGGACCACGGCTGCACACCACCATGCCCATCTAATTTTTTGTATTTTCAGTGGAGAGAGCGTTTCACCGTATTTCCGAGGCTGGTCCCAAACTCCTGGGCCTAAGTGACCCACCCACCTCAGTCTCCCAAAGTGCTGGAATTATAGGCATGAGCAGCCATGCCCAGGCTGACCTCCTCTTCTTAGAAGGGGTGGCCGGGTGCGGTGGCTCACGCCTGTAATTCCAGCACTTTGGGAGGCCGAGGTGGGTGGATCACGAGGTCAGGAGTTCAAGACCAGCCTGGCCGAGGTGATGAAACCCCGTCTCTACTAAAACTATAAAACTTAGCCAGGTGTTGTGACATGCACCTGTAGCCCCAGCTCATGGGTAGGCCGAGGCAGGGAACTGCTTGAACCCAGCAGGTGGAGGTTGCAGTGAGCCAAGATCGTGCCACTGCACTCCAGTCTGTGCAGCAGAGCGAAGACTCCATCTCAAAAAAAGAAAAAAAAAAAAGAAGGGCTGCCGTCCCACTGGATTAGGGCCCACTTCTATGACCTCATTTAACCTCGATTACCTCCATAAGGACCCTCTCCAAATCTTGTCATGCGGGAGGGGCTGTGGATTAGGACTTGAGCCTGTGGATTTGGGGGGATGAGGTTCCCCTTGTAATGGGAGGGTAGGAAATGTTCATCTCCTTCTCCCTGTAGCCCCGATAGCATCTTCCTTTAGAGCATCCTATGAAAGGAGACACTGCTCACTCGGTTGTGGGCTAGTCACCCCCTCGCTCACCCCAGCTCTGGATCGAGCCACTGCACTCCAGCCTGGGTGACAGAGTGAGGCTCTATCTCAACATGAGCAGTCCTGGCCCTTTCTGTGTCGTCAGAGAGGCCTTTTGTAACCTTAAGAAGTAGCCAGATAGTCACATGGCTGGCTGATGAGCAAAGCTTGCTGCTCTCGTGCAGAAGGTGGCTTGGATGTATAATGAAACTGACTGGAACTAAAAGCAGTGAAGCAAGGGAGGCAGTCACACCAAACTGGGTCTTCATCTAGGAACGGGGTCCCACGGGGGCGGGGGGTGTTTTAAATAACTTGATGCCATGTGCATGACGCTGGTGCTTGACCATGAAAGGAAAGTCTCATCCTTCAAATGTGTGTTGTACTTCACAATCCTGGGCTGTTGCTTCAAGTAAACAATATCCACATTTTGAAAGGAAAAAAAAAAAAAAAAAAAAAAAAAACTCTGGGAGGAGGCTTCAGCTTTCCAGAATTGGCGATCCCATCGGCCATGCCCTCTGGGCCAGCCTCTGGTCGCAGTAGGTCCCTCGCTGTGGTGCCCCCACCATGCCCCCTCCCCAGCGCTATGACCCGCCGACCCCCTGGGCGCACCTGCCGCAAAGCGGCCCCTGCCTTGGCTTCTCACAGCGTTCTCTGCAACGAGCCGGGCCTCTCTGATTGCTTTAGCTTTTTGTCTTCCTGCCGCAGATCAGAGCTGTTGAGTAAGTTTTAATATGAAATCAAATGCCAACACGGAAGTTTTAGAAAACAGTTTAATATTCCCCTCAGTTCCGGCTGTTGCTAGGCTGGGGATGGGTTCAGAAGAGCCATTTTGATGAGGTGGCTTCCCAGCAGGGGAAAGAAATAATTAAAACAGCATTACAGTGGCTCCTGCGGGATGCGGTGACATTAAAGAGCCTCACTGACAACCTGGTGCCGGAACGTTCTGTGCTGCCTGTGTGACACGCACAGGACCGCGGCCCCTGGAGCCCATGGAGTGGCCCGGCCCTGCCCTGGCCTGGCCTCACAGGCATGGAGAGGGCGCTGCGCCTTCCCGGGGATGGACATTTGAAAAGAACAGAGCTTGGATAGGTGCGGTGGCTCATGCCTGTAATCCCAGCACTTCGGGAGGCTGAGGCAGATGGATCGCTTGGGGTCAGACGTTCGAGACCAGCCTGGCCAACATGGTGAAACTCCATCTCTACTAAATATACAAAAATTAGCCAGGGGTGGTGGCACATGCCTGTAGTCCCAGCTACACCAGAGGCTGAAGCAGGAGAATCGCTTGAACCCGGGAGGTGGAGGCTACAGTGAGCTGAGACTGTGTCAGTAAACTCCAGCCTGGGCAACAGAGTGAGACTCTGTCTCGGAAGGAAAGAAGGAAGGAAGGAGGAAGGGAGGGAGGGAGGGAGGGAGGGAGGGAAGGAGATAAGGTCTCACGGGCTGGAGTGCAGTCATCATTCACAGACACACACGTAGCACATGACGGCCTTGAACTCCTGAGCTCAAGTGATCCACCTGCTTCTGTGTCCCGATTTCCCGGGACACAGGTGGACGCCACCACACCTGGCTTGGATGTGATCTTTTGTCCGAATTCTTTTCAAACTGGTTTCGAGGTGTGGGTGTGCCTTCTGCATACCTGGGAGGCCCCATTAGGCTTGACTCCCTCATTTTTCTCCATCTACCATCAGTTTGGATCTGAATTCACAGCCTGGCCTGGCCAGATGCGTCAAGGGGCCGGTTCCAAGGCGGGATTCAGGGCGAACTCGATTCCCGTGGGCTCGGGACAAATGGTCGCTGGGGCGCGAGGCGGGGGTAAGACCGCCGGTCTGCTGCTGTTCCTGGCGCTTAGTTCAGAGAAGTTCTGGCCACCACATTTTCAGTGAATGGTTCTTTGAAGAGGAACCCTGGTTCGTAGGAACTAAGGGAAAGCAAAGCCACGTATCTCCACCCCCGGGGACAGACGTCCCAGCACAAGGAGGTCCCAGGTCTGCCAGGGCCGAGTGGACGCTCGGACGAGGGCGGGAGGGCGTTTGCTGGTCCTCCTCCTCCGTGTGATGTGCCTCTCAGCCCACAGCAGCTCGGGGAGCCTCCCGAAGCTTCCGTTCCCCTCTGCCACCCACACAGTGTCACGCAAGCGTGGAGCCCAGAGCCCCGCCGGGCCGCGGTATCCTAATTGGAGGTGACAAAGAGCAGTTTCATGTTACAGCAACGGAATCCCTTCCCCCGTTCGGTGTGCCGGGATTTCATTGTCTTCTTAATTGTTGTAAGCAGTGTTGACTTTGGATTTCTGGATGTTAAATAAAAGCCACGGAAACCCTGGTGCGGCCGTTGGTCAGGCCCGCCTGGCTGACCGCAGGAAGCAAGCGCTTTTCGGGAGCCCACTGCCACGCCAGGCAGGCGCTTCCTAAGCCAGAGACGCGGTTAGGAGGAGGCCTCGTGGTGTCGCAATACGCTCTTATTTATTCCAATAAAGAGCTCGTGAGCAGGGGCCTGTCCGCCGTCTTTGTCTGGCTTCTGTTTTTATCTTTCATGCGTTTAGCGGTCGTGGATGGAACAGGTGCCAGGGCCTGGCGACTCCACCCAGCCCTGCTTCCGTGGGACTTCCAGGTGGACAGGAGCTCAGGGAAGGGCCAGTCACAGCCCTCTGTGGGGGATGGCACTTTGGGAACCCAAGCTTCTTCGGGGACCCCAGGGAGAAGAGGGCAACAGTCACAGCTGCAGATGAGTAACGAAGGCTCGTCTGCCCCTCCGCCTGGGTCCAGACCACACGAGCACAAAGCTAGTGGCCAGGGGCACAGGCTGCGTGACCACGTCGGTGGGGGGGTCTCCTTACTCTTTATGATGTGATGTCGCGGGGCCTTGCATGCTGACCAGTGAGTGGCCGCTCTTGACTCTGCAGGGCAAGGGACCCCTGTGTGACAGAGACGGTGGCCTGCCCTCCGTGCTGGCCCTGCCACAAACCCTCCTTGGCACAGGTCATGGTACGGCTTCAGAAGCATCAAACTTGACATGATGATAAAATTGCGACTATTCCAGGATAGCTAGCCTGGAGAAAAAGGCAACCATGCTGTTAAAAAATACGGAACTACAAATTAAAACTGTGGATGGAAGGAATCTGCGCTTGGAGAAGTGCCTGGGTTTGCGTCCAGCTTTGTCACCCTGTGACCGTGACCTCAGGGACCC